AAACTGTGGTGGTTATTTGAGGTTTCAAGTTAGAGAGGTGAGAATACACAAAACCAAACCGATATTAGTTGGCCAAAACTGAACCGGCTTCTTCATACTTCTAGTCTGATCTTGGACATATGACATATCACATATGTTTTGTCGTCAATAAGCAAATGTAAGGAGAGAAGCTGTATGAAAGGTGTGGCCACATACAATAGTGCAATGTCAGTTTTCAGTTTTGGTGCGTATTTCTTCTTATTATTATTTTTTTCTCTTATGTGTGAGGAAGACATTTGTTCTGATAGTGGAGATCAAGAAGAGTGATACTGTCGGCTTCACAAAACATCCCCGATGAAATAGAATAAGGAAATTATATAAAAGTACATAGTACAAGACTTATCAGAAGGGTGAATATATAAAAGTATTAACATAATAATAATAAGAGAGAAAAAATATATATGTGTGTATATGATAAAATGTCAATGTTGTATAAAACAAACGTATACAAAGAACGAAAAAACAAAGATAAAGCATTACAAAAAAATTGTCCAGAAACTTATGGAACAAATTCGCAGAATCCACTATATGTGTTTGCTGCCACTTTTTGTGATAAGTTATGGCCGAATGATACCATTATTTGGCTGGCTGTTTCAAATTGGAACACTATCCCTTATTTCGCTGACAAATACAAAAGCTTTTTTTTTTGTTGCTTTTATGTTGTCCATATGCGATTCCACATAAATATAGCGCTATGCGTTTATGTTTGAATAAATTATTTTAAAATATTTTTGTGACCTTGAGAAATAAAACGAACATCTCCTAAATTATGTTAAACAGTTAAAACACAAAAGTTTACAAGAAAATATAATAGTGCATAATACAATACGTATGAATATATGATTCCTTTTCGTTTTCTATTAGTGAGTTTTATAGCCGTGCTTACATTTTCAGAGTTTTCACATTTTAACTAAATTTGTTTATAAGAAAACAAATAAAAAACAGAAATAGCCCACTGAAGACAAACGAAAACAAGTTTTTAACTAAATTTGTTTACAAAATTATAATTATTAACAGGCGTTAAAAAATAAATTCTTAACTATTTTATTTTTTGACAAAAAACATAAATATTATTTTGGAATTTTATATTCGTTGAGTTTTGGTGGTCCAAAATACAAGTATCGTTGAGTTTTTCTATTTTTTATTAACACACTACTATTACTCGCCTTCGGCTCCTATATCATATTCATTTTCCACAATTAGCGTCGTATTCAAACTGAAACAAACGGATAGTTTAGTTTTATTTTCTGCTGATTGGAAAATCGAATGTTATTATGGAAAACATTTGATTCCTAATGCATGTTTGCGTACTTTATATATTGTATCTATGCGACGTACTTTACTTGGCGATATACGATGTACATTTTTGGAAAACTAATAAAGGCACAATAAATATGCGAACCTTTCCACAAATCTACTGATGTGATGTCCACTTGCGTACATCCAACGCACAATAATGCTGTCAATTGAATATTTTGTAAGAACCCTAAAAGAGTACGTAGTAGTATCACTAAGCTATAATCCCTTTTTTAATTATCTCTAAAAATGTATTATCCGACATTTTTTTTGTCTTGGTCAGTGGCAATGTACATACTTCGTTTTATACAATCAAGTTTCTGCATAAAGACACTAAACAGTAATAACTTTGGACCACCAACAGTTAAATACACAAACAAATAACGATATTCATCAATTCATATGTAAAACAGTACCCTAAATATTATAATCTTGACTTGACACAACTTGTGTCATGTTGCTACAAAACGAAGCATCAAATTATCTCTAACTAATAAAAAATTAATTGCGCCAAATTGGGATGCTCTGATTCTGCAATAGTAAAAAGTTATGAGTGAAGAAAAACCCCTGAAAAGCTCCTAAAATTGACGACATGTTGCCTTAATTACTTGAAATAATAAAACTTAACCTCATAAAAAATGGAAAAAAATTGAAGGATCTTTCTAATCACCAAAACTTTACACACGAATCCGATTCCTACGAGCCATTCTGGGTGGTTTTTATCCGACAGGTATAAACCGAAGTTGCATCTTCAACAGTTTTCTCTTTCTCAATGCCTCCAGTGTTTTTTACATGTAGTCATCATGAAGCAATCGTACGTCCACTAAGTAATGCACTATGTAACAACGAATTATAAATGGTACGTAATATAATATTAATTCCAGAAAAAAGTTTTAATAATAATAATGGACGACAGTTCAGTTTCCTAAATACTTGTTGTGATCCTATGGTGCGACAAAGAATTGGATCGAAGTTTCTTTATCAAAGACTCGTGGAAAATGAGTTTTAAACAGTTTCATAAGTTTTATAACTCAAGTGCATGATTATAGTGAGATGATCCCTTTTTGCAGAAGCAATACCACAATAGTGGCTAGTAGTCAACTACTAGCTAGGCATTCGGTTTATTCAGTCGTTCGGACTTTTTGAATTTAGGATTTTTATAGGCTTTGGAAAACTAAAACTAATCCGAACTAGAACCGCATCTAATTTTAATTTCAAATTTTTTGGTTTGATTTTATTTTTGTATTTAAAATTTTAGTGACAAAAAATTAGATTTAATTTATTAAATAAAACAAAAATATCGTTTTGGTTTCAGGTTGATGAATTTCGTTCGGGTCTTGTGTCCACAACCCAACCGGTGGCTCTTCATGGCCACGCAAAAAAGAAGTTCCATTAGAGGAGAAATATATGCATATCTAATTTATAACGTTGAATGATGTCAATATTACTATAATATTGAAAGACAGTGTCATGTATGAGGAATCGTACTAGCCTCAGAAGTAGAAGCTTAGTTCGTTGCTGCAGCAAATGGTTTACAAATATTTAATAAGACCCACAATAAGATCCAATGGTTTTCACAGTTTTGTAACGTGAAAAAATTGCTTCACAGTTAACACTGCCATTACATGTTAAAACTCGCATTTTTTTCTTCTCTCAGAGATGATTCCACCTTTGCATCAACCACTTCTACTAAATCAACAACGGCCAAAGTGCTCCTAGTTTCAAGAATGGCAAAACTGAGTTTGGTAGTGATCCCATGGACAACTAGGTCCACTACGGCCAATACACGCTTTTGGGTAAGGATGTCACGGGCTCAACGTCCGGAGACTTGAACGGTCCATAATATAAAAGTAAGCATATGGCCCGTCTAAAAAGCTAGTAAACAAAACAAATTGGTTCAAAACCGTTTGTGTATTCAGGTTTAACGTGCTTACTAATTTATTATTGGAAAAGTAAAAAAGAAAAAATAAATTTACCTTTTCCACAACGACGTTATTTTGGCGTAGGGTTTAGTTTGGTAAAAAATTACCCTATTTTGGACTTAAACTGAGATTTTATTCTTGGTACTACCACAAAACATACTTCATTGAGCTTCACGTTTCTCTTCTTGTAAGTTTGAGAGGAGGCGAATAGAAAAATGGTCAGGAAAACCTAATTGTTCTGGATTTTGGCCCAATTGATGAAGTGTTGTGTTGAAGTCTCAAAAGGGTCAGGCCTAAAAAAAAGCACATGAAAACAAACCTAATATTTATCTGAACGAAACATGAGTGATTACCTCAATCTTAAACTATATCAATGGCCATGAGCAGAGAAAACAATGGTCATATTGATGCCGGTTGCTAGAAAACATATATGGATGCAAAATTAAATAAAAAAACAAAATTCACTTCAAAATATTTTTTACATATTGAAACGTTTTTTTCAGGATATTTTCAATATTGAATCATAATACGTGTCAATATACGAGATGTTTTCTGTATCTCTCTTTTTCTAATAAAATAATGTATCTCCAGTATATTAAATATTAAAACGTTTTTTCACAAATTAAAAAAAAAATTATAATTACCTATCCCTGCTCAAAACACAGATTAATCTCATGATATATCTTGATTGCCAAGGTTGCCTTTATACATTTTAACTTACGATACTAAAAATCTAATGGGCTAAACCCATATCTTTAATTTTCTTATCTGCGTAAAGGGGAAGAAGAGAGTGGAAGAACAGAGAAGATGAAAAACTATTTTGGTTAAGAGGAAACAACGTCTATGTAAATAGCATAAGAAAAACAAAGATTTTCTTCTTTCTTTCTATCTTTGTTTTTCTTCGTTTTTTTTTTAATAAAGAGACAGCTATTTTTATTTCTTTTATGAGTAAAAGGTAGATGAATTATGCAAGAAACCTCAAAAACTTGGTCGCATACTGTGTCCAGTTAGACCATGGCTGGTAATTCAAAAGATATTGACATATAATTTGACTTTTAAATTGTACCAATCAGCTGACTTACATCACTTAAGATTATCTTCTGGATAAAGTAAACACATACTTATCTTAACATAACATTGCAACTTCGGCGTGAATTGTGAGCATGTACTTGGTCTTTTGTCATCGTTTGAAGTTTGAACCTTAAGTCGCAAAAATATATTAAAATTTATATCCTTGCTTCACTAATACCACTAACTTTTCCTCGATAAGAATAGTTAAGAGTTAATTGATTTACGAAAAAGTACATAGAGAATACGTGTAATATTTCAAAGTGACGAGGCCATATCAAAATAAATGTATAAAATGTTCAAAAGAAAAACTATATATATATATATATATTTTTTTTTAAACAAGTTTATATATCAGTTCGAATTTATTTTACAAACAATAAAATTTAATAGTCAAACGGGGTTCAATTGTAGAAGATTTGTGAATCATGCTTCAACAAAAAAAAATAGATTTTGTGAATCACTTGGAAAGAACAGTCTTCTCCATTGGAACAAGTGACCACGACGTTGTCTAAAATATTTATTTTCCTGTGACCAGCAAGAATATATGTATAAAATTTGGAGTCAATATTCAAAACTGAGATTAAATAAATTAATTTAGATTAAGGATCTATAAATAGCTACAGTTTACAACAAATGATCTAAAATACCAATTTCAGTAAGCTCTTCAAAAAAATGTCTGAACACGAAGGCAAACATGAGAAGAAAATCACTGAGGGGAGATGGACCACCGGTTTATACGATTGTTTCTCCGAAGATATCTCTACATGTAATAATATCATTTCACTTCATAAATATTTCTTATGAAGAAAATATTCCGTTACTCATTAGTCATAACTATTTATTTATTTATTTTACTTGTAAATTGGTATGAAGGTTGCTTGACATGCTTTTGTCCTTGCGTTGCATTTGGGAGGATCGCTGAGATTCTTGACAAAGGGGAGACACGTACGTTTCTGACTTTCATTATACTAGTATTGGAATTTCACATCGCTGATGAGATTGAGATGCAATCTGATATATAATATGTAAAAACAGTGATCAAGCTTTTTATCATTGTCAATTGGTTTTGAATTGAAATCTTATATTGAAACAACTCTAGTTAATAAACATTTATTCTAAATAAACAGTTCAGTCGTTACCAATATAAGATTAGGAGAAACTTTATGCCAATTTTTTTGAAAAAGCAAACTAAAGATAGATTTGTGCTCAAACGAGCTTAATTAAATAGAAATCTAAGATTGAATAAGAAATACTTCATGATCTTTATTTATGCACATTAAACTAAAGGAAATGAAAGTGATTTAAGATGTCACCAAGATGAAAATGTTTTAGATTGTATTCATATATGGGAAAAGATGCTGCTCATAACCGCAGCCAAAGTTACAATCATGAGACGCATGACACTCATATATGATAAAGATATGAGAAAATACTGGTAGAAACCCTCAACACATGGATCATGATATTCATTAATATGAGAAAATACTTGTAGAAACCCTCAATATATGGATCATGATATTCGGCTTGTGGGGTTGTACTTTAGGCTCTAAGATAAAATAGTTTATATCTACATCATCTTGTAGATATGTCCTCCAAACATCAAATACGATTTAAGGATATCATTCAAATTTTGGAATACAATAGATAATAATGATGCCTCTATTTGTATAGTCTATACGTATTACAAAGTTGACTAATTAATGGATATGGAATAACAAAAGGTCAAGGACTTGCTGGATTACTGGTAGTGGCAATGTCCTCCATTGGATGTGGATGGTACTATGCTTCACAATACAGAGCCAAATTGAGGAACCAATACTCCTTGCCCCAGGAACCTTGCCCCGATGATCCTATCCACTTCTTCTGCTGCCCATGTGCTCTTTCTCAAGAACACCGTGAACTCAAATATCGAGGTCTTGATCCCTCTTTAGGTAACCAATCTCTATTCTCTCCTCCTTTTAGTAATGATGCTAATTCTAGTTATAAGCGTGCTTGTCGCTATCACAATTAGTTCACTATAAACAAACCGAATTTGGGAAGGTTTCTAAGAACACACAAATACACTATTTACGTAGAAAGTGTAAGAAATAAACTCTTATCTGGACTATACTAGGTTCATTTATTGGCCAAGTACATAACTAAAACGAATTTAGTATTATCAGCAATTTACAAATAAATAATACTAAATTCGGTTATTTTTTTTATTACTTTGAAAAAGGGTGGCAAGGTAACATTGAGAGCAAAAGGCCGCCGTTTGTAGCTTCAAGCATGGACCGTTGAAGAACATCACAAATTACTTCAAGTAATGGAATGGTATGATAACGTTGATGAATAAATAAATAATGTTTTGTAAAACTCATATATTCTTATGATAATTTTGTTTGTAAATATCGTCTAGTTGAATACCCTTTAACAAGCAAAAACAAACAAAAAATAATATATTTGTTTATGTGAGCGGAAGTTAGGTTGTAACCCTGCAAATTTATGAATACTTGTAATCTTATGTTTAGAAAGTATAATGTCTGTTATGAAAAATTATATTGTACAACTAATTTGTATAAGTTGAGCAGTTGGCCTCCCAATGCGAGTGAGATGGTTCTTGGTACTAATTTTGTTTCTATCAAGGCAGCAATTGGCCTCAATAAAGAAAAGTTCATGTGTGAAATTGGTTGTGCAAGTGTGGAAGATTTTGTTTGTGTGTGTGTGTGTGTGTGTGAAAAAGTAACATTCCATGATTAAAAATGTTAACCTTTTTTCCAAACTCATAGTTACAATAGAGAAAAAAATGTCAATGGCGAAAGTGGTATGAATTTTTAGTTTTCGTATAGTGTAACTACTTCTTTTCAGTGACGATACCACGATTGGACGAGTCATTGAGCATAAGTAATATCATTTCCAATAAAGAGATGATAAATTATTCCCAACCAACAAATTGATGGTCTTGAAAAACTTAAGTGGTAGTCAGAACTTGATCAGAAGGAATACATATAAAACATATGAATGGGGTTCTCAATTTTTTAATGGCCTCCAAATATCTTAAGACCGGCTCTAGTGATAGACTTAGTAGTGAAGAAGACGTCGCGATATCATAACTGATTATCTTAGCCATGCCACATTGTAGAATCTGCCAAGTTTGTTAAAAAAAAAAAAAAAAATCAAAGCTTTATTTTTAAAGTTATTAGTATGTGTATACCTTAATGTTTTTTGCAACTCATGTTATGATCAAAATTATTATAACATCTCGGTTCCTCCAAACCGGCATGTTTTGATATATTTCTCAAACTTTAGTCGTTCATTTTCATAAATTGATGGATTAATAATTAGATTGATCATGCGCATTTGTGAAAATGCTATCAAACAGATACTATAGCAATGATATCAATGAGCATATTCTTTCTTCATTCTTGTAGTATGCTCATGAAACAATTTTTATTTATTTATTTAAAGTCATATTTTTCACATGGTTCTCCTAATTTCTACATATAGATTCCTTCAGATTAGCAGATATCCAAAAAATTTGTGTGCTCACAATTTGTTTTGTCACTTAAAAAAAACAAATAAAAACATAGAGATCTCATAAGAGTCACAAGTGTGATAAAAATAATATACAAATAAATAAAGTCGCCGTGGAAGAACAAACGCCATCAAATCAACACCGAGTGTGGATAAAACGTGTTCTCCACCCGCCAATCAAATTTCAACAAAATCTCAAATCTCTCATTTCCAATTTTTCACACATCTCTTTAGATTTCTGTCCAATCAAAATCCTCAATTCAACCAAACCGGTTTTGACCCGACCCAGAAAATAGAAGAAAGATTGAATTTGATTTTTCAGCCTATTCACAAACGATCTCCATTCTTCCACATCCGCACACCCATCCCTCTCTGTCTCTCTGCTCATATCCTGATCTGGGTTTTGTAGACAAAGAGGGGAAAAAGCGAGATTGAGATTGGGTTTCAATGGCGGTTTCAAGTGCCTTCGTTGGTTGCCCAAAGCTTGAGACTTTATTGAATCACCATACTCTGTCTTCTTCTTCTTCTTCGTCTTCTACCTCGCAGACGCCATTGGCTCTCAATGGTATTCGTGTTCTTCAGAGGAACAATAGAATTAGAAGAGGTCTGATCCAGAGAGCTCGTTGTGAGCTTTCTCCGTCTGATTCTTCGCCTAATGCAGCTAGCATCTCAGCTCTCGAACAACTCAAGAACTCTGCAGCTGATAGTAAGCTTTTTTTTATCCCATTTCTCTCTTTTCTGGGTTTGTGATGATGCTCTGTTTCAAAATTTATGAATTGTTTTTGAAAATTCGTTGAGAATTTTTGAATGACTATTTGTTAGCTACTCAAAGTTTGAAACTTTAGTTTGTGGGTCAAATTTCATTTGATCAAGTTTGAACCTTTTTAATGATGTAAGTGACATTTGTGATTGGTTTTTGTTGATCCGTTTGAGATATATTTTGAATTGACTATTTGTTAGCTACTCAAAAGTTTGAATCTTTGTTTGTGGGTTTCAAATTCCATTTATCAAGTTTGAACCTTTTTGTTGATAAGAGTGACTCTAACTTAGTGCTGTTTCTTACTCTCTATTGTGGTTATAAGGATATACAAAGGAAAGAAGCAGCATTGTGGTGATTGGACTTAGTATTCACACAGCTCCTGTTGAGATGCGTGAGAAGCTTGCTATTCCAGAAGCTGAATGGCCTCGAGCTATCGGCGAATTGTGCGGTTTGAATCATATCGAAGAAGCTGCTGTTCTCAGTACCTGCAACCGTATGGAGATCTATGTTTTAGCGTTATCTCAGCACCGTGGAGTCAAAGAAGTCACCGAGTGGATGTCAAAGGTTCCTCCTTTAGTCCCTATATTGCTCTTCTTGTGGTACTTTGGATTGTGTCTAATGCTTTAAAGCACATTAGAGTGGTCTTTGTTAGCTTAACACAAACATAAATTGAAGTTGTATGTTTGCATATGACATTTATATTACTTAGTGTTACAATCGGTAGCAATTGTGTTAACATATTCTGTTTTCTTTTGCCAGACGAGTGGGATTCCGGTTTCAGAGATTTGTCAGCACCGTTTCTTGTTGTACAACAAGGACGCGACGCAGCACATATTCGAAGTTTCAGCTGGTCTTGACTCTCTGGTCCTAGGAGAAGGTCAGATCCTTGCACAGGTGAAACAAGTGGTGAAAGTTGGCCAAGGAGTGAATGGATTCGGGAGGAACATCAGCGGGCTGTTCAAACACGCCATAACAGTCGGGAAGCGAGTCAGAACAGAGACGAACATCGCTGCTGGAGCTGTCTCCGTTAGCTCAGCGGCTGTTGAGCTTGCTCTGATGAAGCTCCCTGAGTCTTCTTCATCTGCTTCCGCTAGGATGTTGATCATCGGTGCAGGGAAAATGGGGAAGCTTGTGATTAAGCATTTGGTAGCTAAAGGTTGCACAAAGATGGTGGTGGTTAATAGAAGCGAAGAGAGAGTTACAGCTATCCGAGAGGAGATCCCTGGTGTTGAGATTGTATATCGTCCTCTTGATGAGATGTTAGCTTCTGCTGCGGATGCTGATGTTGTTTTCACTAGCACAGCCTCTGAGACGCCGTTGTTCTTGAAGGAGCATGCAGAGAGTCTTCCTCCGGTTTGTCTTGAGGTTGGAGGGAAGAGGCTTTTCGTCGACATCTCTGTTCCGAGGAACGTTGGTTCTTGTGTCAATGAAGTAGAAACCGCAAGGGTTTACAATGTTGATGACCTTAAAGAAGTTGTTGCTGCAAACAAAGAAGACAGGTTGAGGAAAGCAATGGAAGCTCAGACGATAATAGCAGAGGAATCAAACCAGTTTGAGGCGTGGAGGGATTCGTTAGAGACTGTTCCAACGATCAAGAAACTAAGAGCGTACGCAGAGAGGATCAGAATGGCAGAGCTAGAGAAGTGCTTGTCGAAAATGGGAGATGATGTCAACAAGAAGACGACGAGAGCTGTTGATGACTTGAGCAGAGGTATTGTGAACAGATTCTTACATGGTCCAATGCAGCATTTGAGATGTGACGGGAGTGATAGTAGAACGCTGAGCGAGACACTGGAGAATATGCATGCTTTGAACAGAATGTATGGTCTTGAGAAGGATATATTGGAGGAAAAGCTTAAGGCAATGACGGGACAACAAAAGTAAATGAATATGAGAAGAAGAAGAAGGAGAAGAAGATGATGTTGTTTCATCTCTTTTGACAGGCAAGATTACATCAAACTAGCTTCCGTAAATTGCTTTGATCCTTAAGCTAAGGGATCTATATGATTCATTTAATTTGTGTGCAAGAGACGGTTTCTTTGGCTAACATTTTCATCGTCTAAGTGTAAGCGAGCTTGTTGCATGTTTCTTTGCTTCATAGACTCGAGTGTGTAACGGTATTGATCCAAATAACGTTACACATTTTATCATGTAAAAAACTTTTGTTCATCAAGTATAGAGAAATGCTTCAAATAAGGTACATATTGCAAATACTTTTTTTCGTTTGATAGAAAATCATTAACTTTTGATAAAAAAGGAGATTTTAATTTATATGCCCAGATAATCTCAAAATGTAAAAAATGGTTTGTAATAAAAATGGTTTGTATATTGAGATCATATCTTATATATAATTAGGGAGTTGCTCTCTCCATTTAGGCTTCCACATCACCATAATTTTATATAGATAATGGATCCCATATTTAATCAAAAATTATAAAACAAAAGAGAAAAAAATAATAAATGACAAATAATTAAAATTAAAATTAGTCAATCAATTAATTTACACAGTTTATTTTTATTATATTTTCTTAAAATAAAATTTATTATTTACCAAACAGCCTAAAATATATTTCACAAAATAAAATATTGAAAATATTAATTAAGAAAATTAATAGATATGAGATGATTTATAAAAGTCATGAGACATTTTTTTGATATAATTTGATAATTCAAAATATATAAAAATAACTATAAATAAGAAAAAAATAAAATATTTAAAATAATATATGAAACAACATAGATTTTTTTAAAATTACAAATTAATAAGGATAAAAAAAAATTATAAGTTTATTTATAACTGTACATGAAAATGTAGTTCAAAATATTTTGATTGAAAATGTTAGAAGGAAAATGGTAAAGAGCATGGCTCAAACGGTGACTGACACAGTGGTTGAGTGTAGTTAAGAGGCGGACATGGCTCAGGATGATGTTAATAAGAACTTTGACAAGTTTAGAAAATCAGAAGGTCAAGGATGACTACACGAAGTTCTAAGTTCACTAAACAACCGTTTTTGGTACTAAAAATATAATAAATATTCATGTAAATACTAATAAATCCTAGAAATAGTTGCCTTGCTCTAATTTCTCTAAATATATTTGTAATAAATACTAACAAATTTCCGTAGTTTTAATTTGATCAATATACACAATACAGACGAAAGTACTCTTATGTTGCAGTGAGAGAAATATAACATCTATACTATAAATCAGGTTACAAATACAATAACAGGACAATAACAATAACGATAACATTGACGACGAGTCAGTTCGGTTATCATTACGTTAACATAACATAACATATTAACAATCACGTTAACACTTATATCGAATATAGAAAGAAGATTACATTTATTGAAGCAAGAGAAATAGAAAATTACAGGGGCAACAAGGTAATTTATAGTTAGCAGTCAACAGAAAAAGGTGTTAGTTTGTGTGAGATTATTTAATTGTTATCTAAGGTTATTTATTACAATTTAATCAATAGACTCAAAATTTCATAATAATGAAATATATAGAAAGATAATCTAATAATTTCTATTAACCTATTCATCATTAAAATTAATGAATAACTATTTGATTAATACAATGTTATCATACTAAATATTGCGTTAACATGCAGTAATATATCGTTAACAATAAACTAATGGATAATTTTATCAAGGTAACTACTATTAGCGAGCTAACTAACGATAATGTTATCATGCTAACTGTTATGTTAACATGTAATGATATATTGTTAAAGTATATGATGCGATGATAACATATTAGTTAGCAGTTATGTTATCACATTATTCAGATATTCGTTAATGCATTGACAACATTATCATGTTAACAATTTTTTTTTTGATATGTTAGCGCATTAAGATCATTAGCGCATTATTGCTGCCAAAAACAACAAATAAAGTGACAAAAGGGTAAAATAATCATTTTAATAATCATTTTGTGGGGTTTAGGTGAATTTAGACCTATTCTCGGTGAATTTGGTATAATTTTTGTTTTTGGTTTTTAAAGGTTATTGGTGATTTGTTAAGATGTACATATGTCCAAAAAACAGGTTAGGCGTGAGTCAAACGGTTGATTCAGGCACAAATTATATATAATAAAATCGAAAATAAATTGGGGAGTATTTAAGAATTTGTTTTGTTTGTTTTTTTTTGTTTTTTTTTTGTATGGATGCATATGGAGTAGATCTAATTAACTTTGTGAATCTAGCTTGGTTTACAAGTCTGAGGTGTTGACATTGCTTCCTAAGCATGACTTCTACTCCAATACCTTCCACCCCCAACCACATGCGAAAGCCCATTCTTATACTTTTCCTGTGTTGTTTTAAAGATTCACAAATTACAAAATTCTCTTCATCTTCTTCATTTTTCATGCGACATGTTAACTTAATTTTTTTTCGCTTTTCATTCTTTTCACCATTGTTGTTGGATTTACTGTTTTTTGTTGTTGTTTCTATTTAAATATGATACATATATGACTCAAACTTTGATTTCAAGTTAAAAATTCATAAAATGTGTTATCCCGAAGTTGCCAATTTTTTTACGAAAAAACATTAATCGCCATGGCTGGGTGCCGCGAAACACTTCACCGCTGGTCAATTGGCTTATACGGCCGCATTTTCGAACATAGAATTTACCAAAATCATTCCACTTATTTCCCACCAAAATCGTATTAAATATTCAAAAACAAAAAAAATAGATCTCCTAAAACCCCAAAAATCTCAAATTCAATAAAGGAATTTATCACTCAATAACCATAAAAAACACTAAGTTAAAGATATAGCCATATCTTTTGATGAACTATGATATTATGTGTGTAAATTATAATATGACAAAAATACCCTTAAAACAATTATTTTTTTTCTTTTCAGTTTATCTTTCTTTTTTTTTTCTCCCTCACCATCGCACCCTCTTCCTCCCTTTTGATTGATTTGAGTTTACAGATTCGGATTTAGGGTTTCTTGTTTAGTTATTTGAGTTTATTGTTTAGTTATTTCAGTTGTTGTATTGATTTTCGCTAGTTCTAATCAAATCGGATTTCTCTGTGTTTCGTGCAATTTCTCTATTTTCTGGGTTATTTTGAAATTTGGATTTATGATTTCGGATCTATATGTTTTGTTTCAAACTGGTCTTAAATCTGGGAAATCGATCAGTTGATATGAATTCCAGTAACGAATTGAGATCATATGTGTATAAACTTGTTTTCCTTTTAGAGATCGAAGGTGGAGAAAGAATGAAGAAAGGGGATGACGAACAAACATGAATTTCTCTCTCCTTCGTCGGGCTATTTTCGTCCATCTCTACTACCACTTGGTTATTTACTTTATTTTTCAGATAGAAATGGCTATAAGCTTAATATAGATGCTCAATATGGTTATTCCACAAATTTACCATTCAATAAATCCTCACATTTATTCCTCCAATAGATTTACAATTTTACATCCATTTCCTTGAATCACAAAAAGCTAAAAAAATCTTTGCAAGCATAACAACCTAAGATAATTTCTCATCTTGTCTTGGGGATTTGGGATATATATGATCAATATACTTGATCTTGTGACAAAGTAGAAATGCAAAACACTTGAAATTTTTGAATTTTACAACTGGTGATGCAAAACACTTGAAATGCAAACACTTGAAACATAGGTGGTGATGCCATGACTGTGGGTATAGCAACTGACGAATTAATATGTGCTTGTCCCTGGTTTGAAGAGAAAAGTATATATTTCGGTTATGAAGTATAATTCTCGTCCCACGATCGACGCGCGCAGAACATTACATCCGTCCCGCACAGTCCAAGGCCGAGCACACATACCGACTGGGGAAGCATCCGCCCGTGATCGACCCATTCCAGTCCCACGACTATGTGCCTCACACGACAACCTGGTCCGAACCGGGAAGCATCATTCCGCGTTCAACCCACTCACTTACCACGATCCATGTACCACGCATGATCGTACCGTCCGACAAGGAAGGCATCATTCCGCGTCCGGCCCGAACATTCAACCAAATCTATCCACCCGGCCGAACCCGACGAACGAACGTGAAATCTCTCAGCCACGATCGTACCGATGGTCAATCACAACCCGACTCCCGGCCGAACATCCCGACCGAACGATCTGGTCGACCCGTATCTGATTTTGAAGCCCATTTTACAAGATTTAAAGCCCAATTACTTGGCCAACTTTATAGACATGGTATAACCGCTCTTTAATACTTAGAGCATTATAACTACATCTTTTTAGCCTTGTAACTGAAGAAGGAGAGAGACCACGATTTACATTACATCTTTAATAAAGTTTTACTTGTTCTTTGCTTTACTTTGCTTTTGCTTGTTCTCTTACTAGAGAGGATTTTGGATCTCTGTTCTTATGAACATGAATTCGATCTCTTTCTCTATGTGTGAGTAGTTTACTTGTTAAGTGATAGGAAATCAAATGGTAGTATTCATGTTTGCTTGATAATCGATTACTATGAATTAGGGTTTTACATAAACTCTTCACCTTTACTTGTGTGCAAAGCTTGTTGTTAATCTGGCCAATTAGCATATGATCATGGGTAGACTTGAGCCACAAAAGTGCTGAATCATTCGCCTGAACTAGTATTTGGTGGGCAACCTCTTTTAGACTACGACAGTTGATTTACTTGTAGGTTGTGAACAACTGAGACTCATTCGAATTAATGCTTGCCTTAATCATCTAGGGACATACCAAAAGTTTAGCGACTAGATAGATTAACAATGGGGTCGGAGCCACGACAATTGAAAGATCATACATTAGCGTTTGTAGTTCTAGATGGTACCAATTCCCAAAAACCCTAATCAATCGAGTCTTGCTTCTTGAACTACTTATCTAGAGATTATCCTATTGTTTAGCTGCTTTCTCCCATTGAATTCAATCTTTCTTTTTACTTGCATGTTCTTTATTGTTTACTTTAGTTATACTCAACCAAAATCTCATTGTTTTGCCCTAGCTTCATCTCAAACTCATATTTGTAGTGTGCAATCTGGTCTTTGTGTTCGATACCCATTTACTACTTCTAACATGTGCACTTGCAGAATCAGGGATAGGAAAGGAAAGACCTGATCCCGCGATCATAACTCAATTAAAATAAATTCAATTCAACAACCAATTTAATCCAGAATATTAAAATTTTAGCAACCTAAACACTAGGTCCCACTAGACTAACAATGAAAACAATTAAAACTCTAAAATCCTATCATCCTCTTCTCGGACAGTGATTCCGCGATCACACATTTGTTTTACCTGCATCACATGGGAAAAAGAGATGTGTAAGTATTTCATAAATATTTAGTGAGACGGTCCTCCGTCTACAAGCCAAATACGCAAATACGAGACAAACACAATAACAACAATTAACGAACAGAAAATGCAAAACAACACTAGTGTCAGTCGTCAAACACCACTTCTGTCGAGCGACACCCAGTCGGTGGGCATGCACCCAGAAGGTGTCAGTCGGCACACACCCTTTGTGTCAAAACAAAACCCAGAACGACAAAACAGTGCGGAAACACGAAATTAACACTAATGGTCACAAATCAGACGATTAGACACACTAATCAACCTAAACTCATCATGAACTCAACCAACAATCAATCATTCTATCAATTCGAGTATACGGTCGTGCACTCACCTTGAAAACTGATTGAAAAGAGGGAAAGTGAGAGACGACGATGAACAACGATGAACAGCTTCGATTTGATCCAAGAACTCTGATTTCTCCCCAAATCTCCTCGCTCTTCTTCTTTTTCGTTTTCTGGTGTAAATATAACTAATATATTTAGTTTATAATTGTAAGTTTACGTATTTTTTTTATTTCATACATATATATAAATAATATTTTTGACTATGTAATTATATTTTGGCTACTTCGGGTTTTTATTCGGTATGGTTTATTGCGGGTTCGGGTCGGGTCTTTGGGTTTAAAAATCTATGACTTAATATCGGGTTCTGTTCAGCTTTGGTTAAAAGTCCCGGCCCTAACACTGACGATAACACAAAAGATAACATTGTTGTTAACAATGATGATAACATAGACGATAAAATTGAGGATAATATAGACGATAACTGAGTTAATTCCATGAAGGAAGTTTATTTTGGTTAACTTTGATAATAACTTAATTAACATACATCAACATTGCCGCTACTAACATTACTATTATCAATTTATCATTGACATTGTATACGTTCATCATCACCGAACCGTCAATCTTGATTCTTGACTATCTTGATTCTTGACCGCACCGTCATTATCACCATCATTCCTCTTGTTATTATTATTTTTATTTCGTCTTTTACTTAAAGAAAGAAAGAGAAAGATATCAAAAACATAAATCAGAGACAAAACCGTCCTAGACATGTGTACAAGTAGAGAGAAAAGTGTTAGTTAATTTAATGGTCATTGAGGGTCATTTCCTACAATTGTTTTTCATTGTGCCTTCACACTATTAATAACAAATGCTTATAAAAAACATTTCATGTTATTAATTGTGATTTTAAATTTTAAATTTAATATTATAAATGCTAAAGATAATCATACTTTTTGTAAAAATAAAAATAAAAAAAATATAAGGCACTAAACAGTTTTGGAGTGTTTGGAATTTTTTTTTTAATATTAATAGATATTATAATTTACAGATATTGTAAGATATTTACATTATATATAAAAAGTAAAAGTAAAAGTAAGAGATTAAAAAATATAATTTTGTTAATATAATTTACCAAAAGGGATGTTGTGGCTTTAACCCATAATCTGGTAATCACTAAAAAAATGTAAATAGATTATCTAACTTAATTAGAATCATAATAATGAACTAAAAATAGGACTTTGTAAATTCAGAAAAGAATAACATATGCTTACTTAGACAATATCCAAAGAAGTTACTATATATATAGAGAGTTGTTTTAAAAATACTTATTAATAATAAAGTATATTTATAGAAGACAAGGAAAATTAATTTGATCGACAACTATATAAATGGATGTGAGGATCTAGTTTTATTATTCAGTATTCTCAAATATTTTAGTTTCTCAAAGCAATCTTAGTTATATTTTTAAATCAATCAAAGTTTCTCTAAAATGGATCCAAATATGATGATAGAAAAAGAGTTAACAGAAGAAATAGATCCAGATATAATAATAGAAAAAGAGTTAACAGAAAGTGATGTTTCCAATTCCCAAGGTTTGAAATTACCAAAATCAAAGATGGACAATATATTAATAAAGAGTGGAGTTAAAATGGCACGGAATGGTCTTAATGTGGTAATTCAAGATAATGATAAATCTTATTCGGTAATGCTAAAAAATAACAAACATGGTTATTATATCGGACATGGATGGGCTGATATCAGAAAGACAAAAGATCTGCAAAAAGGCCAGTTCATCCAAATATATTGGAAAAACGGTGGATTTATTTTTTCTATGAAGTGAGTCTTCTTTTATTTTTTTTAGTTATCATGAATAAGTGATTTATTTTCTTAATAAATCTATCAGACCTATGTTTGTTTTTTCTTTTGTGGTTAATTATATTTTGGATATGTTTTATGTGTATCTTAAGTAAATCAGTAACATGTCAATTTGCATTGTGATATCTAATAGCTATGATCCCATAATTTACAGATCTAGTTAAAAGCCTAATACAAAACATGGTATTATGTGTAGTTATAGAATGCTCAAAATTTGATGCGTGGAAAATGTATATATGACATGCATGATAAAATTTGCAACTATTTGTTTTCGTTGTGACAGTGAATCATCTGGTGCAAAAGAAGCAGATCAGACAGGAGAAAGCAGTTCAAGTAAAACTCCAAAAGAAAACGTAAATGATAAAAAACAAAATGTGTCGAACAAGCGACAAAAAAATTGAATGATGAAGGTAATAAATGTGGTATAGATATTATAATTTGCTAAATTTCAAGTATTTTAGATGACTGAAATATATAATATTTTTCTATTAATAAAAATTTACTGTTCATATATTTAATTCATAATTGATTATTAGATTTTTATACTAAAAAAACAAGAGTGAATTTAATCAAAAGACAAAGTTGACCAGAGAAATAATTAAATAACATTGCTAATCTCAGTATTAAAAAAAACTAACAGAGAGAGAGCAAATGTGTAGCATAATTGAGAATTTTAATTCCAATTTCTGAGTTTAGAGTTGGAATCTAGAAACATTTTGAGTTGTTTGTCTTTTTATTAAATAAAATTATTAATAAACATTCAATTACAAAGAAAGATAACTTTTATGGAATAATATCTATCTTTTTCTATTTATTAAATAGGAAAATTTTATGTCTATAGATTTCATTGAAATAAGAATCATTTTGTGTTTTATTAAATAAAATTTGTATTTTTTTTTGTCAAATCACGCTTGACAAGCTATAAATTAACTAGATTCCATAAAAACACTTTGACTCACACTTGCAAATAAATTAATTCAGAAGATGCAATGTATTTAGTTAATCTTAATGCCCAATGTAAATTTAAATGAATAATGTACCGTATAATCTCTTAAATTTAAACAAAGGTGATGATCAATATCTCATATGTGATACAATACTTAAATGGCAGCTAATTACCAAAATTAGTTAAAATGTATATACAAACTTATAAAAGTTATATATAAAAAAATTCCTAGTATATGAACATCTAAAATCACACAAATACAAAATTAAATATAATTTTTATAATTAAAGGATTTCAAAGCCAATCAAGTTGCTTTGGCCCAATGGTAACTCCCAAGTGGGAGGAAATATGCTAAAAGGAATTAGAGACCGTGTCTCACTAATAGAAGTATAGCGCTAGGGTTTTGGAAGATGGGGATGCTACGATGGTGGATACTCCAGGAGGGGGGCAGCCACCGGGGAAGCCTCAGGATGGGACAGGAACATGGGCTGCGAGGGTGATGGGCTCAAGTGCAGGAGGGCGTTCGAATCCGGAGATCTTGATCTCGGACGAGTTTGTGGAGAATAGGCTGAGTGTGGAGTTTCCGAATGGGATCAACGGGGACCCGGTTATCACGATTGGGGTGGAGGTCTTGGAAGCAATGAATGGTTTGTGGAAGCGGTGTATGATTGTGAAGGTTTTAGGGAGAAGTGTCCCGATTGCCGTGCTGCCCAAGAAACTACGGGAGATGTGGAGACCGAAGGGGTTCATGACGGTGATAGATTTCCCGCGAGGGTTTTTCATGGTCATTCAGTTTATTTATATCAGATATAAATTTATTTTGTTCGTTGGGCTCAAGTTTAATAGCTAGTCCAGTAACGAATGAAAGCTCAAAATCGTCGCCTTCATACTTTTGCCTCGAAATAATAATAGTTTAAGCTTTGGCCCAAGCCAAGTGTAGTTGTATGAAAAACTCGATTACTCAAAAATCTAATAGTTCTACGTCACGGTGTAGATAGATAGATTCAATAGCATTGCTTTACTTAGGTAAAAGAAACGATTTAGTTACTTATCTGTGTAAATTAGGAATTCATTGATTGGTTTACAAATAGGTAGTGTCAATTTTGAAACTCCGATTGTATAACCAATATGATTTCGAATTTTCGATATATGTTCCTCAAACGGTTGCTATAATTCTACTTGTAGACGTCAAATCATTTACGATTAACCGTAGAGACTGAAAGAGACCTGAAAAAGGTTAAAATACAAGATAAAAAATGCACAAGGAAGAGTCTAAGGATCATATTATATGAAGCACGTTTTGATTAGATAATTCATTTGTCGGTTGTCGAATCTCGCATGTGAGGTAGTGCGAACGATAATGGAGGGTAAGATACAAAACAGTTCCCATGTGTATCGATCATAAAGATATATATGAAGAAGAAAGATCTTAACAACTTGCATGAAATGAAGAGATCATAAATAAATAAAAACATGTAAAAGCACTTTCTTCTTTTGTTAATTTGGGACACACAAAGTACAATGTTGTAAATTTTCTCCTTGTTTCTTTGTTCAATAGTAAAGATACCTTGTAACATTCTAACAACAACCCAAGATTTATTATATCCATTCCTTTCAAAAACTGAGTAAAGGTTCATATCTTCCCACTTTTTATATATCCTTTAGTGAAACGATTTAGTCATCTAGATGACACTTTTATTTATACGTAGCATCTTCTAACTAAAACCCAAGTTCGATTACTCTATAAGTTTTCTTCAATTTGCACAAAAAAAAAACTATACAACTATGAAACCTTTCGAGTCATATCTATGATCTATCATTTTTCCTTACAATACTATTACTACACATTCTAGTTAATGTCGGTGACGTGGCAAAGTCAGAACAAAAACCGGTCGCAAGTGGGGGACTCTCTCAGTGAACTAGAGACTTCCATTGCTTGCACGCCTTTTATTTTAGGGAAGATTTGTGAAAACAACATTTGCTTTTTGAAGATATCACTTTCCTTTTGGAGGAAAAAAGCATGCAAGAATGAACAGTACACAAACAGACATGAGTGATAAACTCAATAGTTACGACCGTGTTGTGTCATGTCATACACTCATATCGTACGATTGTATACGTGGCCAGTTTGTCAGAGAAATTCACAAACATATCCGAACAAAAGAGAGGCAAAAGAATGTGGGAGGCTCTCTTTAGACTTCCGTATTAATAACGGTGTTCTAAAAGTCGGCCGAGTTGCCGAGTACTCGGTCCTAAAACCGCCAGAAGGAGGTTGCCGTTCCGACTTTTTAAAAACCGAGTAAAGATATAGTTAACCGTTGACCGTACTTTGAACATTCACATTATTATAAAAACCAGCAAGTAAATGTTAAAATCTGGTGGGCTAAAGTTTGATTTTTGTTCACAATTAGCCCCAATTCGCCCAAAGTGTGTAAAGACTTTTCATTCAACATGAAACCTTAAAAATGTAGTATATGACTTTTATATTGATGTATTATATATAAAAAAAGAATGTTATTTGGTAATAATGTAGTATATGATTTTCATGTTGATGTATTATATATAAAAAATTAAAAATGTTGGAAATATATAAAAATGTACTTAAAATTAATCTCCGAGTACTCTCCGATTTATTTCCGACTTTTGAGAAAATCGCTAGAAGGAGACAGCGCCCTAGTACCGCCTAACGAGTTTTAGAACACAGATTAATAATAACTTTTAGCTTGAAAACAACATTTCCATAATCCTGTAGCGTCCCATCTTACGTGCTTTAATATATTTCCCACGTAAAGAAAACTCCAACGAATGCAAATCACACGATCAATGTTATGGTCCTTATTGATCACTCATATATACGTGGTTCGAGATATAATATGTCATACTAAAAATTATTAACACATTACGACAGAAGAGTGATAATATCATAATACCAACAAAACTCATTTAACTGTTCTAAAAGCAATCATAAGACTCGGATCCTTCTAGCTCAAAATTTGACCTACTTATATCTACACCTATATATAATCATACAACCTTTAAACAAAAAAAAAAAAAAAAAAAAAAAGAGAAAAAGAAGCTGAGAGTCTGAGACTAAGGAAGTGAAGGCAACATGAAGGTCTGTATACATTTCCATTTACCAAGTCTTTCTTTTTCTTTTTTATAAGTAATGAGCTTCAATTGCATACTTAATCTATCTCGTACAGTTGCTAAGTTGGATGCGAACAATAAAGCAAAATGGCTTATTATACCCATCAAAGGAGTTTAAAGGTTTATATATAACTTTGATCTTCATCTTCATAAAATGTTATTCATATATGTTCTTGGTTAATTTATAAAACTCAACCTACATATCTTCCAGGTGATATATGTTGTCTGAGAGCTCAAGTGTCCTCTGAAGTCCAAGACATCCGTACAAACTCCTTCTCCTTCTCCTTCTCCGGACAATCTCACGACTTGAATCCACAGGAAACTGATGAGGAACTCCGGTTTGATGAAGACACATTCAGCGGATTTCTGGCGATCGGGACGCTCGGTAGAGATCCTGAAACACCGAAATTCGCAGCTTCGGTCGCAGAAGAAGATGTAACGGGAGCACAGAAAGAGATGGCAAAGCTCATCACTGAGAAACTAGACAAGTTTCTTGAGGAATCTCCTGAGGATTGTAGCATTCAGCTGGTAGAGAGATCGAGTGGAGAAGGAGATAGAGAAAGAGATGTATGTTTTCTACAAGGTTATGATCTCTTTCAATCATCGACTGAGCTTGCAAAGAGAAGCAATGAAGCAAAGAAGAACAAGAGTGTACTTGCAAGACTCTTCAAGAGGAGAAAGAGAGTAGAAGGAGAGTGTAACTCCATGGAGAAACATGGAACAAGAGATTTGATTAAAAAGGTTTTCGAAAAGCTTCATGGGTCTTCTTCAAAGATAAGAAATTACGACGATGATGTTGATGATGATTCTATGCCTAAGAAGAAAGATCTCAGAAAGGTTCAATTTTTGTAGCTTTAAGCATTTCAAATCTTGGTCTAAAGATTCTGAAAGTGATTGGTGTTTGTTTTGGTTACAGAGTGCTCAAATCTTCCGAAGGAAAGTCCACCCTGTTCTCTATACACCTGCAGCAGACGATGACAATATAGATGACAGAAGAAGCTGCATCAACCGCTGCGATCTCAATGTCCCAAGTTCGATCTCGGAAGCGAACAGGAACATAGAAAACTGGATCAAGACTGACGCAGAGTGTAAGTCAAGATGCTAAACAGAACACTAAACACGAAGAACACTGTTTGGCTTTTGTTTCTCTCTCTCTCTCTCTCTCTCTCTCTCTCTCTCTCTCTCTCTCAAGAGTTTTCACATTGTTTGCTTGCTTTTGCAGATCTTGTTTTGGAACTGTGAAGATCAACACACACACTGCAAGAAACCACCACCGATGTTCCGAACACAAAGTTCTCTCCTATCAAATCTATTTATTTCTATACAAAATCACTATCTATTAATGTGTGGTCAAAGGCTTATGTAGTCTACTTTACTTTAAGTCAATGAATAAGAAGGTTCCAATATGAAAGTATAGTAACCGGAATTTAAACAGCATTCCAAACAGCATCTACATGTGATTTGGCCACTGTTGTCTAACTGCTCATAACCGTCACATCCTTGTTCCAAACAAATCACTGGTGAATCTAAAAATGTCTTGACCGATAACTCCAAATTTGACCCTCTTTTAAAATCTTGAGCTTCAAGACCATTTTTTGCAAGGCTCACAAGCGAAAAAGAGTGAAACTTTTGAATAGATTCATGGTGCTAATACATAGATCAATCGCCAGAAACAGAGGTACTTAACTAACTAAAAGGAAACCAAAACTACTAAGAAAACAATATCAAGTAAACACATATCTTGATATCATCTTTAAACAGTAATCTACTTTTTTTACCAAATTCTTTAACAAAAAGCAAACAACACCAACGACCATATTGAACAATTAAAAGGAGAAAGAAGAAGCAAAGTCCACAAAAGCAGAGCCAATAAAGAATACAATACCTTTCCTCGTAATCTATCACTAAGCTTTAGTATCTTAACTTCTTCTTCCTTCTCCTTAGCCACCAAGAAAAGCCAAAAAAAAACATTCATCAATCACCCTCTACATAACTCTCTCCATTTGTCTCTATCTTCATCAGCAAAGAACAAACACTTATCTAAACACACACAAGCATTTTCACAATACCAAAACACTACGAAGCAAAGAGATCAAACCAGTTATACATGAGCGCCGATTGGGGACCGGTGATTGTAGCGGTGTCTCTATTCATCCTACTCTCACCAGGACTACTTTTCCAGCTTCCGGCGAGGACACGAGTGGTTGAATTCGGGAACATGAGCACAAGCGGTATAGCGATTTTGGTTCACGCGGTTGTATACTTTTGTATACTCACAATCTTGGTGATTGCTATACAAATTCACATCCATTTCTGATCTCTCTGCTCTTTTATCAATGTCTCATGTAACGTAACAAAAAGAAAGGCATCGTTACTGCAAACTCAAATGTACAATTTTACAAAATCTCCTTTCTTTGGCTTCACTGTTCGAAATTTCTGATAACGTTTCAAGCAGGATGACATAAAGTTTCAATTTTTAACTGAATTTTGAGGTAGTAAACAGAGTTAAAGAGATTATTAGGTGAACAGAAGAAAACTGCCGACAAAGAAGAAAAATGAATTAACGATACAATACAACACATTCCTTTTCACCAAATTTGTTTGTTACAACATCAGAAGGAAAAGAAAAAAGAACTATAGATTTAAGGCATGTAAAAACCTCTAATTTACAGAGTTTCTAGAAACAGTTTTGAAAAGGGTACACCTTTATTTGATTCAAACGAGAAAAAGGAGAGAGACCCAATCCAGATCAGCCGGTGTAGATGTGGAGATTAACGGCGATGATCAAAATGGTGTAAATGGCGAAGAAGATGAGAGTGTGAACGGCGATGGCTTTTCCATTGGTTTTGAGATTACCGAAATCTACCGCTCGGTTGTTTCCGGGCAGTGAGAAGAGGAGTCCCGGCGAGAGAAGCACGAACAGGACTACGCCGACGAGAACCGGAGCCCAATCCGCCATTGTTGCCGTGAAACGGTATCGTTTTCTGTGTGAAGTAGAAAAGGTTGCAACTTTAGAAAGCGGTGGTGGCTAGAGAAAAAGACAGGAGAAGAATCGGGAGATAAAAGATGTGGTAATGAGCAGCTGCTTTTGTTTTATTTAAATAATCTCGTGATTATCAGTAATATAAAGAACTTAGGAGGGCACGAGAAATACTGACATCGATAGATAAATGCTAATTTAGTATTTATATCAAGTTAAAGGATTGATTAAGGAAATGTTATTTTCAACGGAATATATTATTTGCTTTCTTTCTGAGCTGGACCTCACTCTCCTGAAAACAAATTAATCTCTTTCTAATTTGTAAAGGCACTTATTAAGTCTAATAAGGTTTTATGAAAACCTTTTGACAAAAAGAAAAAAGTTTAGTTAATAAATTAAAAATATTGGGACTATAATATTTTATTGATTTAGTAAATTATTAATTTACCAAGAGATTATTTAGATTGAAAACTTAATTTGGGAACAATTTTTTTTCATTAATCAAACAAATTTATAATTTATCGAGTATTAATTTATAAAGTTTCTACTATACCATAAAAATCATCAAAAGGTTTAGTTAATACCATTTCTATAGTATAAACATAAACTAATGTTGACTAAATATTTTGATGTTTTTATTAGCCTAATAAATTGTTTAGTTAATACCATTAAAAAATTGCATTTATGTTTTTATTACCATAAATTCCGTGTAGACCATGCATGTAGATCTCTCACAGTTTTACAAATTTCTAACCCTAATTGGCTTTTGCACATTTAAAAGGACTTATTAGCATGATATTATATTTTATATGGATTCTGAATGTCTATATTTTGTTTCTGAATACGATATTTGAATCAAAATATTTTCTATATTTTTTATAAATTAAATTTTGGATTTAATTATGTGGTAGACCTCTTCCTTAAACCTCATATATTTTTATAGCTTTCTAACCTAAATTTCTTATGGTTATCTACATTGATTCATTTCTCTGTAATTCTATTTTTCTTAGGTTGCAAATGTAAGTGTTTTATTTATTGATGTAAATGGTTTCACCATAATATTTTTATTTTTTTAATATAATTTAAATATAAAATATAATTAATATGTAGACCTACAATTAAAGTTTACATGTAGACAGCAAGCGGCCGAGTCAAAATGGTAATCGCAGCAAACATTTTTTGTTTGTTCATGAGAAGAGATTTTTACTTTTAGCTGACATGGAGGTTAGTTTTGCAAAACATTGAATTTGGAATATAGATTTCTTGAAAAAAAAAACAAATTATGGGTTACTCTCGACAATTCTCCCTTCAAAAAATACAACTAAATAATAAGAGTTAAACTATTGTCTAAATTTTTATAATATATAAAAAATATTATAATAAACTATGAATTGTTCGATATATATACATCAATGTTATACTCCCTCCGTTTCAAATTAGTTGTCGTTTTGGTAAAATGTATCTGCAAATATTTGGACGTATCTGGACGTGTTTTGCATTGCAGATACATCCAAATAATTGCAGATACATTTTCCCAAAACGACAACTAATTTGAAACGGAGGGAGTACAAGTTCATTCATTTTCATAAGAACTGTACATTCTAACCATAAATTGCTTACTTTCATTAGCCCTTTAAGTTTATTTCTATTGTTATCCACTATAATTTACTCACTTTCACATAGATAACTGAAGACATAATTTTCACATATACATACATATTTTACCAGCTCAATCTATTATACTGTAATAATATTTAAGGAACCATAACTATTTTCACAGTCTCAACAATTTTTAATTACTTGAATTTGTAGATAATTAGATTAGGCTCCGCATATACGCAAGTTTATTTTAAGATATTTGAAATAAATCACTGAAAAATATGAAATTAAGTCTCATCACTTTTAAAAGTAAGTAGAATAATATTAAAAATACGATAACAAATCTCTAGCTAAAATAAGATTGGTAATCTTTGTACATTTCAATGATAATTGACATTTGTTTGAATTCATGTAAAATGAATAAATTTTTTTTATTTTTATTTTTTATCTAACATAGAAAGACTTACACATATCTAAATTTGATTGACTAATTAATTCATGAAACTTTGATTACTGCATTCAAGAGATTTCAATTGATAATAAAAAAGAATTCACCTACAAAAATTTGAAAATTAAATTAGAATATCAGTCCATTATAAAAAAAATTGTAATATTATTTAGTTACTTAATAACTATTTTGTTAGTTTTCTATTTATATTGTTTCTTTTACAATTTTGGTTTTACCTCGGACCATTTTAAATTTTCCTTTTCATAATTAGTTAANCATTGACGAAGTTCTTAAGAAAAACAAATATATGACATATGTCCCCGCACGTAGCGCGGGATAGCCTCTAGTATATCTTAATGAACTTATTTCTAAATCAACTATCTCTTAAATATAAAAGACTTTGGTTGTGAATGGAAGCATAATGAAATGCAGTTATTAGGTTGGTTTTAGTGAACGGCTTTATTCGTCACCAATCAACAAACATCAATATATCAATATTAGAAAATAGAAATAATAGTTGATCCGCCTCTGGGAAATGTGCATGTACAAATATGAAGAAACGCAGTGTATTTCTGAAATGCATCAATTCTCAATTTCTGATGCATTGTGGTATTAACATGTGCGGTTCTTATATTTTCTATGTTTTTTTGTTTTCTTTCATTAAAAAAAATCATAAAATATTGCTTTTATTAGTTACTTCAAATTTGTTTAGAAAATAAATTATTTTAGATAGTTCAAAAATTTAAATCACTAATATATATACTGTGTTTATGATAATCACCATTCAAACATTATCACATACCGTTTTTTAACTCAAACCGCATTTATTCCGCATAACGCATTTTTTTTACATAAACCACAGCGCTTTACTAAATTTTATATTTCTCACTTCTCAGTTTACTGTTACCATTTGGAGCCTTTGTTGGTGATATTTTCTTAAACCTGTGAAGAATCCATATCAAACCGAGATAGAATTCTAGGAACACTACCTTGTGTAGAAAGTGAAAGTACATTAATTATTTTGTTTTGTCCTAATATTTCAAGTCAAACAGAACCACAAGCATGTGCTCACTCATATTCGGAATATTCCAAAAGTTCTGTATTCGTGAGATGACAAAAAGATACTAAAGGAAAGTTGGGCAAAACCAGAAAAAGCTGGAGACACGGATCTAACACAGTTTCCGACTCCCAATATATATTATTTTAATTTCACCAATGAACTTGATTCTTTCATTTTCACATTCCATTTCCATTTCCTCTGTTTCTCCTCCTCCTTCGCTTCGTACCTTCTCTCTTCATCGTTGCAACGCTATCACTTCTCAAGGTTACAACTCTCTCCTCCTTACAGTCTCATATGTTGTCGGAATCTGGATTTTATTTGTTTGAATGTTTGAAACCCAAAACGTCTGTTATAGATTCGTTTTCTTTTATTGAATCAGATTGTAGATTTGATAATGAATGAATAAATGGGTTTTTCTTTTTACTGATCAAAGCTTCATGGGTTATATGAAAGATTGTGACTTTGAATGATTTTGATTGATGGATCAAAAAATTTAGATATGGAGGCTAAACAAAGTCAAGGACTTTATCCACTTCATCGCTGCAAAACCATACATCTGGTTCGTGTGTTGTTCGAAGTTTTCTCTTTTTTTAATTATATATATTTTCTCTGATATGGCTCTGTTTTTCTTAGATCCTGGTTTGATTTTCTTGTGTTTCAGGTGAGGCATGCTCAAGGGATTCACAATGTGGCAGGAGAGAAGAACCATGAGGCTTACTTATCTGAGGATCTCTTTGATGCACATCTCACACCTCTCGGATGGCAGCAGGTCAGATCTTTCTCTGTTTTTAAAATCTCTGATTTTGCATAAAAGTATGAAATTTGAATGATCTGTTGCTGTGAGAATGTGATCTTACACATTATACAGGTTTTGTGCTCTTCTTGCAAAAGGGAAGTAATGTGATTTTTGTTCTTGAAGGTTGATAATCTACACAAGCATGTCAAGGCAAGTGGGGTCTTTAGTAAAATTGAGTTAGTCGTTGTCTCGCCTTTGCTCAGGTAATAACCTGTAAAGCTTATTCATATGATTCTTGATGGCGTTTACTTGAGACAAGTAATTTAGAATGAACATGATTATCTATTTATGTTCTGTTTTTAGCTTCTTTGAGATTTTAGTACCTTATAACTTGTTTTTGTTTTAGGACTTTGCAAACTGCGGTTGGAACTTTTGGTGGTGAAGGTTACAAAGATGGCGTTGATGCACCTCTGCTTATGAAGGCAGGTGCTGGAAACAGCGATCGTCCTGCGATATCAAGCTTGAATCGCCCACAGTTCATAGCGGTTGAATCTTGCAGAGAACATTTGGTATGTTTATTCACTTCTTGCTTATATAATGGCAGGTTACTTGAGAGTAAAGAACTTCTTGCAATGTTCTTGTTTTTTTGGTTTCAGGGTGTTCATCCTTGTGACAGAAGAAGCAATATCACCAAGTACCGTGAATTATTCCCCGCAATCGATTTTTCATTGGCAAGTACCTGATTAACCACTTGTTCTTGCTCTATTTCGAATTGGCCTTATTGTTTTTTTTTTTTTTTTTAACATTTGCTTATATTGCTATGTACAGATAGAAACTGATGAAGATGTTTTGTGGAAGCCTGATGTAAGAGAGGAGGACAAAGATATTGCAGCTAGAGGCGTCAAGTTCTTGAACTGGTGAGTATTTGCAAGTTCTTGTTAGGATTTGACATAAGCGTTTATGATTATATGATCTTTCTTGGCATAATCTTTTGATTGATATATCAACTGAAAATTCAGGCTAAGCACAAGGAAAGAAAAGGAGATTGCGGTTGTTACTCATAGCGGTTTCTTGTATCAAACTTTAAACTCATTTGGAAATGATTGTGTTCCAGAAGTGAAAAGCGAGATTTCTTCACAGTAAGCCTTACTTGTTTCTTTTAGTTTCTACAATTGAGTTTCTTCTTCTTTCTCTCTTTGATCATTTGGTAATTTGTTGCAGTTTTGCTAACTGTGAGCTCCGTTCTGTTGTTCTTGTGGATAAATGGTAAGTTTGTTTGATCAAAAAGTGATCTCATTTGATACATTTACACAGTTTTGAAAACTCATATATTTGTTTTTTTCTCTCTGCATGTTTGAAATGCAGTAATAACAGTTCGGATCCTCCAGTGACCAACTATCCCGGAAAGATTCCTTCCGGTGAAGATCTTCCAAGTGATATTGCTGATGAGAAGAAGTAGTTGGAGGGACAAAAGTTTCAGTTAACCTTATATGAATCTCAATAGTCATTACTGCTATTTACTATAAACTAATTACAAGTTGATTGCTTGATTTTGAGAAGGACTCTTTGGCATTTTCTTTTGAGATTTAAGTTGTTGTTATTTCCCAATGGATTTTAACAGAATATGAATTTTTATAATATTATTGATTTGGAGAAGATAATTAGAATAACCTTCAAAAGTCGTTTAATTACTAGAACAAATCTAATATCATAAGTACTCAAATATCTTTTTTTCAATTCATTTTCCTCTTATTTATTTGGTGACAAAAAAATTGTATCTAGAAAATCTCTAGAAAAACTTTTGACAATATAAAATGATCCTTGTAGATGAGCTGTTTGGATTGTTGATTTTTATCAGATAGGATATCTGAACAAAAAAAGGATATTTAATATTTATCTTGTGATTTGTAGATTTTTATTGTAGATTAATTTTTAGTTCTCGTAGACTAAAAAGGTAGTGAGGAAATAAAATACTGATATATTTTAATTAATAAGACTTTGTAATCAAGGAACAGTCAGAGTTTGGTCAAAGAATGACCGGAATGAAACCAAGAAGTGGTCAAAAGAGAACAAGTGTTCCCAAAACAAGAGTTTTTAGGTGAGAAGAGTAGGAAAGAATTCATTTATCCCTCGAGTAGAAAATATGTCAAGATCATTAGTCAATGATGTGAGAGAAATGACAATGTAAAGTATATGGTTAAAAATGTGTGAGATAATGTGACTTCACTGTTAATTGCCCATTTCGCAAAACTAATGAACTTTAAGCCGAATCTATCAGGCCAGTAAGATCCAAGGTCCGGTGCCAAAGCAATAGGGACTTGGACTGGCAGTTGAAAGATTGTCATGGATATGGTAGATAACAAAAGGTAAATTAGTTTTACGGTTATAACATTGTTTTGTAAATAACATTATCGTTGAACAATACATTTAATATTCCACCAAAAAGACAAAAAGAAAATCAAAACTAATATACTTGTATCGATAAAAACAAACTCATATACTGGCATCGACAGTGACATACATTTACTGGTATGTGGCCATATATCCCTAAAAGGTAGTGATAAATAATTAGGAATCCCCATTTCTTTTTCTTTCTTTTCCAATTCCACGTATACTTTTATCATTTACTTTTCGGCATCACATATGATTTTCTTTTCTTTTTTAACGAGATAATCTGACTTATAAGTTATAAAGTCCACACTAATCTCTTCACGATGACTTTTTTAGTTGAGTAGCTGTTTCACTGATTTTTCTTAATAAATTGAAAGCATAACACAATTTCGAGAATAGATTTTTCTTAATAAATTTTTCTTAATAAATTGAATAACTAGAAAATTCTTGTGTATCTAGTTTTATTTATAATAAATTGAAAGCATTGTGTTACACGTTGAAAGCATTACACGTTGATTAACGAGAATAGATTTCTACTTGCTAAACTTGCATGGCAACTTCTATTTAAGTGAAAATCACTGTTAATCCACTTGGGTGACATCATATATATTCACATGTATTTTTCTTTTTCCTAATTCAAGTATTTTATTCTGTCTTACTTTTCTAGCTTTCTTCTGTTAGTTTCCAATTTTGGATTTTGTTTTGTGACTTGTGTGGTGTGCACCACATACCAAAATCTATACCAAACTGCACTATCTGATTTACGTAATTATCAAAGTGTTTTCATCTTGTTCTTTTTCAATTGAATTGTTGGAGCAGCAAGTATATTAATTACAGTAGCTCACATAGACCAGATGTTGTCTGAATATTTTTGTTTTTTTTGGATGTAGTCAGTTATTACATATATAAGTTAGTTCTCCATTTCAGAAGGTGGCAGAGTAAAAGACACAAAAACTATATACTTTTGTTTTGCTAAAGCATGCTAACAAAAACTATATTGAATTGGAAGCACAAATTTGGGTTTTCTTGTTCTCTAACCACCTTCACTTCTTCTCTTGTCTTTGCTCCTATCTTTTTGGTGTTTCTCAGTATTTATTGGGGTTAGCTAACGCACGTGTTTTGTTTTACCTTTTCTCTTCTCCTACCACAAAAGTAGTTGTCATAACAAATCTTCTGTAGTAAATAATATGTCATGTAGATAAAATGTACGTATTAACTTTTGTTCTGTACAGAATAATGATACATACCTTTTCGTCTTATTATTCTTCTTCTTCTCCGTGAATAGAATATAGATTGCAGAAAGCCGAACACTCATTGGCTAATCGATCAATGATGATAATGAATTTCAATTCTTTGTACTATAGTGTCTTCGATTCTTTTGTTTTTTTCATAACTAAAGGTGAGTCATAAGCAGGGCCGTCCCTGAGATTATGGAGGCCGCAAGCCCAAAATCAATATGGGCCGAATTCTTAAAAAAAAAAAAAAAAAAAACTAAAAGTATTCAAAGGGAATCCAACCCACACTGCTAAAGTCATTCAAGAAGGACGATTACCAGTAGGCTATAAGTATATTAGGGCCGAAAATATACTTATTTGTACTTGGCCGCAAGCAGCTGCTTGCTCTGCTTGCTCCCAGGGACGGCTCTGATCATAAGAAACTACATTTACTAACACATTCTTTCTTTGTTACTTTTTTTCTGTATCACTAATCTTAATCGTCTGTTTATCGATTACACAAAAGCTTCTCAAAGAAGAGATTCGAGACGAAGAAGATCGTTGATTAAAACATTGATCTTATTCACCATTTTCTTGGAGATTTCACTCTGTCAAGCTCAAAGCGAAAACCTTCCTCCTCTTCAACAATCATTCTCACAAGGAACATTGAAGTTACTTTACCAAGACCGTCATGTAAGTATAATTAATTTAAAACTAAAGCAATTCAACAATTATTCCATTTAAAATAAACAGTTAAAGTATAGTATTACATAAACTTTGAAAAAAAATATTAAAATTAAAATCCTTGACTGATATAATAATTGGAATTGAATCTATGGCTCTGGCAAAATATTTGAGTGATTACCAAGAAAAGTTTCATAATTAATAAGGGTGTCATTTTTTTTTGGCTTCCTTGATGTGGAAGTAATGCTGATTGGTAAACACAATTAAAAGGTGACATTGGACAATGGCATTGTGCAACTAACTTTGTCTAACCCCGAAGGATCCATCACCGGAATTCGATACCATGGCATTGAAAACGTACTAGCAGTCACCGATAAAGAAGATGATCGCGGGTAATAAGTTATATTTTCACCTAATATTTAGGATTTCATGTTTCATTCTGTTTTGCTTCGTTGCTTATGCAGCTACTGGGATTTGGTATGGAACTTTCCAGGAAAGAAACTTAAAAAGACAAAAGGCACATTCGATAGGTTAAGATTTTGAAACTTCTCCTCTGTTTTATTCCAATTTCTTGTTCATTTGTAATTTTGAACCCTCAAATGTGATGATTTTCTTTGGTTCATTTCATAGAATCGATGCAACAAAAATGGAAGTGATCACCAAGAACGATGACAAGTTAGTTAGAGATATCGTTTTCTAAGCCATGGAACAAGTTTGTAGACAATTCTCTACCTATTAATATAGACAAGAGGTTTGTAGTAAAAAAAAATTGATTCAGAAATAAGCATCTTTAGTTTCTTGCATGAGCTTGATAATATTTTATATATATTTTTTTTATTTTAGATTTGTGATGCTACGGAATTCCTCAGGGTTCTATACTTATGCCATCTTTGAGCGTTTAAAAGGCTGGCCGGCTGTTGAACTCGACAACATCCGAGTAGCTTTCAGGCTGAACAAAGAAAAGTATGTTTTTTAGTGTCTTTTCCCTAATCTTGTTTTCTTGTTTCAAACATAAGAATATATCTTTTATTTTTCGTGTTGTTGTTATGTTAGGTTTAGTTACATGGCAATAGCAGATGATAGGCAAAGATATATGCCTTTGCCGGAAGATCAGTTTCCTCCCCGAGGACAGACCCTTGGTTATCCCGAGGCTGTTCGTCTTGTCGACCCTATCGAGCTTCGGTTTAAAGGAGAGGTATAAAAGATCAGTCCTAATAATCATATAAAAAACGCATCTCTTTGAAATGGATGTATATGATTAGCTCCTAAATCTTAATCTTTAAAAATAAAATAAAGCAATTATGTTAGAAAAAAAAGAAAAAGAAAAAAGAAAAAAAGAGGAAACAGAGGAATTGCTAAAATATCTTTAAAGTACTGATTCTAACAATCTTTTCTAGGTGGATGATAAATATGAGTACTCAATGGAGAGTAAAGACATCAAAGTTCATGGATGGATAAGCACAAAAGAATCAGTAGGATTTTGGCAAATCACACCTAGCAACGAGTTTCGGTCCGCAGGACCTCTCAAGCAGTTCCTATCCTCTCATGTCGGCCCTACAAATCTCGCGGTGAGTACCGACATTTTTAGTGCGGATTTTACAACTAAAGATTCATTTTTATGGAGAAGCTTTGCTTTCTGATTTAGAACGTTTCTTGAACAGGTCTTTCATAGCACTCATTACGCTGGAGCAGATCTTATCATGAGATTTAATGAATGGGAAGCATGGAAGAAATTATTTGGACCAGTTTTTGTTTATCTTAACTCTTTTCCTAAAGGAATTGATCCTCTCTTGCTTTGGAACCAAGCCAAGAACCAGGTCTAGTCAATTTACATATATTCGAAGTGTTCTTTAGAATGTGCAACTGAACCATCTAGGCAAACTAGGACCTATAGTTTTAAATTAATATTTTAACACATCATCTATATATTCAATAACAGTTTAGTACAGACAAATATGTCTAATTTTTTTTTTTTTTTTTTTTTTTTTTGTCAGGCAAAGATTGAGGAAAAGAAATGGCCTTATGACTTCATCGCCTCAAATGATTTCCCATCGTCAGACAAACGTGGAGTTGTTACCGGTAGATTACTCATTAGAGATCGGTATGTCGGTATGTACATATTTACTCATTAGTGTAGACATGGCAAATTCAATATTTGATATACACTAACTATATCTAAAGAAATTTCGAAAGTATTGTATATATTTAGTGGATTATGGATCTGAATAGTTGGACTATAAAATAATAATTACAGGTATATAAAGAAAGAGGATATGGCAGCAAAGGGGTCTTACGTGGGATTGGCTGCACCGGGAGGTGTTGGCTCTTGGCAAAGAGAGTGCAAAGTGATAAATTCATTTGAAACTCTTCTAATTTGTTTTCCTTTCGTTATCTACATAACTAATAAGGCTTGGACAATCTCCAGCCTTCGACACGTGGCACCTTTTTTTTTTTTTCCTTCCAAACGCTAAAACGACGTCGTTTTGGGACCCTCCCACATACCTCCAAAACGACGTCGTTTTATTATCTAACACTTCAAATTTCGGCCTAAACGATGCCGTCTTACCCACTTACCGGCTGGCTCCAAAACGACATCGTATCGCTGGAAAAGCAACCACTAATGTGTTTCCCTTTTTTCATTTCGCCGGAATCCCTCCGTCCCACCTCCTCCCTTATCCGCATCCGCCCCCGGCGAGACTGTTCGGATTTCCTCATCCATTTCTGCTTTTAATCGTTTCAATGGTGTGCATTCAAAGCGCCGGTTTAGCGATAGACTCCCCCAAATCGAATTCCATTATAAAAACCCCCTTCAAGCTCCTAAATTTTTTTTCTCACATTTCCTTTCCGATTTCCGATCCGCTGGCTTCGGCGCTCTTTTCGTTTCAACCACTTTGGCCGTCTTTCATCATGGTTTCAGGTAACCCTCCCTCTCCACCACCGCCTCTCTCTTCCAGCTTCTCGATTTAACTCCGGCGTGACTCCAGGACTCCCTCATAGAAGCCGGCGTTGCCTATCGTATAAAGGTAACTGAAGCTAAATTCATCAATGGTTACAAGATGTCCACTATATAGCTTTCTGACATGTTTATATGTTTTTGCAGTTCACAGCTCATCCCCATGCTGGTGAGAAATGGTGTATCTATCCGACCTATGATTCTCTTGAAGATATCACGCATTCGGTTTGTCCCTTTTCTAAGTCTTTTATCTGAATCTGAGTCATCTTGAGTTTTAGAATCTACTTCTGTGGTTTCTGATGTATTCTTTTATGTGCATAAATATAGCTCTGTCCGCTTGAATTTGAAACCCGGCGGGCACCTTACTATTGGTTATTGAATTCATTGGGTCTCTACATCATGCCGGTTGTGTGGGAATACTCACGGTTGAATGTCACAAACACTGTCATGTCCAAGCGTAAGGTTAAATAGGAATGTTAAGGGTAGAAACAGAGGGAGTACTAATACACTATTGTTATTCAAGGTGACTTATAATCAGTTATACAGTGGCAAAAGAGCCACACTCTCATAGGCATTGGTCAATGGGCCGAAGGCCTAGGTTTATCGGGTTTTTCTTTTGAGGTGTATATATAAGGTTCATAAGGGTTTGTAAAGTTTAACACACGAGTTAATAAGAAACCCTAACAGAGTATATTGCCTCAATCTCTCTACTTCTCTTTCGTTTTATCGTTGTTAATCACAACATTGGGGTTTCAATGACTGGAGGTTTTATCGCTTTTGGTATTTCAATGACTGGAGGTTTCCTTAAGTTCGAGATTTCACGATTAGATGGGAAGGGAAATTTCGGCCTTTGGCAGGGGTGTATGAAGGATCTTCTAACACAGCAGAGATCATGATAGCGTTAGAGAAGGAAAAACCGGCGCCAATTAAAGATGATGAATGGCGGGAGATGCAAGATCTTACTACTTTTAAAGAGATATGGGAGAAACTGAAGAATCTGTACATGTCTAAGTCGTTGTCCAGCAAGTTGTATCTCAAGCAGCGTTTGTACGGGATGAAAATGTCAGAAGGATCCGATCTAATGCAGCATGTACATGCGTTCAATCAAATTGTGGGGGATCAGGCTCGTGTGGGGGTGAAGATTGAGGACGAAGATAAAGTCATGATCCTATTGTGTTCATTGCCTTCTTCGTATGAGACTTTGCTAACAGTACTGACGTGCAACAAGGAGACAATAACCTTGGAGACAATGGCTGTTTTGCTTCAATCTCATTAGGAGCAAAGACAGAAGACAGGAGCAGATGGTTCTCATGGTGACGGATTGTATGCGAACAATCAGGAGAGGGGTAGGCAGATAAACAAATATGATGGAAGTAGCAGCAGGTCAAAGTCTAAGAACCGGACGAAGGCTACTTGTTATCTTTGTGGTGTTTAAGGTCACTACATGCATGATTGTCCAAACAAGGGCAAGAATAAAGGAGGAAATTAAAGTCTGTGAATGTTGCGCAGCAAGATTCTGATTCAGGGGATAGCGATCTATATGCTGTCATGTCAGGTCATCATGCAGATTCTTGGGTGATGAATACAGGTGCGTCATTTCATATGACTTCTAACCGGGAGTGGTTCGAGACGTGCAAGGAGGGGAATATGGGAGAAGTTCAGTTCGTGGATGACAGGGTCTGTAGCATTGTTGGTAGTTGTTCTATAAAGTTTAGGATGCATGATGGGGTCATCAGGACACTTACTGATGTTAGACATGTTCCTGCTGTCAAGAAGAATCTGATATCTTTGGGAAGAAGTTCTGAAGGTGAGCAAGGGATTGATGGTAATGATGAATGGAGTGATGACAAGAGGTAAAACCTATCGTTTGGTAGGAAGTGTGGTTGTAGGTGGAGCTGCAGCCGTGGTCTATGAATCAGACAGCATGACCCTCTGGCACATGCGTATGGGGCACATTGGCAAGCATGGGTTGAATGAGCTCCACAAGAGGGGTCTGATGGGAGGTATGAAGAATTGTAAGATGGATTTTTGCAAGTTCTGTGTGATGGGAGAACAGTCCAAGGTGTCTTTCAAGACATGTCTACACACGATAAAAGGTCTTCTAAACTATGTCCATTCTGATATGTGGGCATCAACTCTAGGAGATTGTGGCTGTCTCAAAAGGGCTACATACAGAATGTTTTAGAAAGGATTGACATGGAAGATGCAAAACTGGTTTCTACAACTTTGGCGAATCACTTTGAACTCTCAGCTGACCAGTCTCCTAAGTCTGAGAACGAAATCAGAGGTATGGAACAAGTTCCTTATGCTAGTGTAATTGGTTGTCTTATGTATGCTATGGTCTGTACAAGACCAGATTTGGCTCAAGCTGTTAGTCAGATCAGCAAGTACATGGCGAAACCTGGGAGAGAACATTAGAATGCTGTGAAATGGGTTTTGAGGTATTTGAAGGGTTCAGCTGAGCATGGGCTTATGTTTGGAGGCCAGGAATGTGGTTCAGTTGTGGCGTATGTTGATTCAGATTATGCTGGAGCTTTGGACAACAGGAGGTCTACCACATGGTATGTGTTTGCATTGGCTAGAGGACCTATATGTTGGAGATCTGTGCTACAATTTGTTGTTGCATTGTCCACCACAGAAGCTGAATACATGGCATTGGGAGAGGCTGCAAAGGAGGCACTTTGGGTTCAAGGAATTGTGACAGAATTGGGTGTTGAGCAAGGTGGAGTTCAGCTACACTCTGATAGTCAGAGTGCAATATTTCTGGCTAAGAATCAAGTGTATCATTCAAGGACGAAGCACATTCATGTGAGGTTTCACAAGATCACAAAATGTGGTAAGATGTTAAGTTTGACATTCTCCTTTTGGCTAATAGATCTGCAACCTTATTTCCGCCGAATTTTACCTCATCAAACTTATTCTTCCAATAGCATGTTTACTTGATCCAGTTGACCATACCAAAGTTTAAAGTAAATTTGTTGACTTGATCCACAAGCTTCTTGCAATCCTCTTCAAAGATGATTTTTCAGATGGCCACGAATTCACGCATTTTGCATTTCAATTAATAAATTATGTTTTCTAGATAAATTGACAAACTAAGGGCGAACATTTAGCAGTAAATTTGGCTCCCAAAAACACCCGCAAAATTTTTATTACCAAAACCATTCGCGCCAAAATTGAATCACAAAATAATACCCTAAGCCCCCACTCTCACATTCTTTCATCCGCCAGTTCTCTCTATCTCCCTCTCCTCTCCCCTTTCACTCTTTTCTTCATATCGCATTTTTCTTTCTGTTCAAATGGTTCCGATTGATGACGCGGAGATACTGAGAACCAAACCAGAATCGGCTGTTTTGTGCTCCGATGATGGCAAAACTGTTGCCGACACTCCCAGTTTTATCGACGGATTCTCTTTACTTGTTCGGATATGCACCGGAGTCCGAATCTCAGATCAACCTGTTGAGGTAATAAAAGTGTGTGCTTTGAATTTGATCTCGCAACAGAGACATGTGTATGTTAAGAAGGAACTGGTTGACGCAAGAAAGGTGAAAGTTGAAGACGGAGTCTTTCCGGTGGAGAAAGATTGGTTCTTGGTTGGGAGATCGCTTGTCACAGCTACTTCCACTAGTAAAGGAAGGAAATTGGAAGATAATGAGGTTGTGGATTTCAAATTTCCCACTACTATCAATTGTAAAGTCCCCGGCATTATTCGTTTCTCTACTAAACGATGCGGAGAGGTAAGCCAAATTTTGTGTGTATTTTAGATTGGAACATGTGCCGTTTTGCTTTCATTAGTCCATAAAGTTTTTCTGTTTCATACTGAACAATTTGTGTTTATGTTTCTTCACGTTTTGACATCTTTCAGTCATACTTTTGTTTTGGTTTGATGTGAGAAACTTCAATTGATTGTATTTTCTTTGGCATGTATGATCTTTAGATTGGTAGGCTTCCGATGGATTGGTCGAATTGGGCAGTGTTTCTTTTGAGATCTGGTAAGGTCAAAATGCTAGGCAGGTGTGTTGCGGCACCAAAGTTTCTTCAGATGATGCAAGATATTATGCTTTACGTTAGGTAATGAATGATGTGTTTTGGTTTGATTATTCTTGCTTTGACGACTGAAAATTGGAAACCTTTTTTGAAACTTATATATGGCTTTTTGGATGGTCAGTCTTTACATTCATAGCTCAATATTCATTGATGTTAGCAAATCCACTTGGCATATTGGTTGTTTTCCAAATATTGATTCCACTCTTCATCCTCTTCTCCAACTGTTCAAACACTTGACAATCAAACCTTATCAAAAGGCATGTACCATATTTTCTTCTTTCCAATACCTTTATGTGCTTAGAATCAAATTTGTAGTTGTCCTCATTTTGATATCTTCAAAACAGGCGGAGTTCTCTCCTCAAGAACTCGACTCTCACAAACGGTCGCTGAATTTGGGGTATGTGAATCACATACGATGTGATCCATTTTTGGGGTATGTGAATCACAGTTCATAACATTATTTATCACCATACATAATGTGATCCACTTTTAGTTCATCCTTGAAATTCATATGATGCATGGTGATAAATAATGTTATGAACTGTGCATTTTGTATGTCAGGATGACATTGACGAAAGAGCAGCGTTGCTGGCTGTAGCGAAAAGAAGGAAAGGCTGTGAACATTATATAGAGCAGAGCAAAGATGAAGAGAATCGTGTTGTTGACGCTGCAGATTCATATAACCTGGAGGTGTGTAATGTTTGTTTTATAAGAACAAATCTATCTTGATCCTCTTTACAAGAAGAAGATAAATTTAATATCTTTTTCTATGTTTAGGCTCTGAGTACATTTACGTGTAACCTTAGACCATACAAGAAACAAGCTCTCTTCTAGATGTCTGAATCTGAAAAAGGAATTGATGTTGACAAGGCAGCTGAAACTCTAGATCCTTGCTGGGAGGTTTACCGAATCTGTGACGAGTATGTATACTATTCTCAAAATGTTTTTTTTTTTAAAGAAACATAATATTTTATATTGATCTAATAACGTTTGATTTGCATGCAGCTTTCTTCAGGAGGGCACCTTCAATTTATATAAACATCTTCAGCGGTGAAACAACAATCCAGTTTCCAACAACAACACATATGGCAAGAGGCGGAGTATGTTTCTGAATCACAGTAAAATATTCATTCTAATGGCACTGAATGTCTCTGCTTGTTGATTTTTGATAAAAGTTAACAACTTTTTGTTTTGCAGATATTGGCAGATGCACTGGACATGGAAAAACTGTGACGACATACTTGCAAGACCAGGCCGTGGTAACCCGGAAAATGAAGAAGACTTTGCGCCGGCGGCAGATGTTACTGCGGATAAACCTAAGAGGAAGGAGAGCCATCATAGAGCACCAACGATTATGAAGGCAAAAGGAGGAACCCTTATTGTTTGTCCCATGACATTGTTAAGCCAATGGAAGATGATTTGATTTCATAGTTGTTTTTCTTTTTACTCTTTTGATAGTTTTGTTTTCAGAAAGTCTCATGGTATTTCACTTCATTATTCCAGGACGAGCTTGAGACTCATTTGAATGCTGACATAGTGTCTGTGTTAGTTTACTATGGAAGGGACATAACACATGATAAATGGCGGGAGATGCAGGAGCAGGCTGTTTCGACAATTCGTGTGTCTGGCAGACGAGGCGATGCTTCAGGTGGAAGATCTTACTACTTGTAAGGAGATCTGGGAGAAACTGGAGAATATGTACATGTCAAAGTCGTCGTCCAGCAAGTTGCATCTCAAGCAGCGTTTGTACGGGATGAAGATGTCAGAAGGATCCGATCTGATGCAGCATGTACATGTGTTCAATCAAATCATGGGGGACTGGCTCGTGTGGGGGTGAAGATTGAGGACGAAGATAAAGCCATGATCCTATTGTGTCATTGCCTCCTTCATGTATGAGACTCTGCTAACAGCACTGACGTGAAAAAGGAGACAATAACCTTGGAGACGGTGGTTGTTTTGCTCCAATCTCATTATGAGCAAAGACAGAAGACGGGAGCAGATGGTTCTCATGGTGACGGATTGTATGCGAACAATCAGGAGAAGGGTAGGCAGATGAACAAACAAGATGGAAGTAGCAGCAGGTCAAAGTCTAAGAACCGGGCTAAATGCTACTTGTTATCTTTGTGGTTTTAAGGTCACTACAAGCGTGATTGTCCAAACAAGGGCAAGAACAAAGGAGGAAAGTCTGAATGTTGCGCAGCGGGATTCTGATTCAGGGGATAGCGATCTATATGCTGTCATGTTAGGTCATCATGCAGATTCTTGGGTGATGGATACATGTGCGTCATTTCATATGACTTCTAACCGGGAGTGGTTCGAGACGTACAAGGAGGGAAATATGGGAGCAGTTCAGTTGGTGGATGACAGAGTCTGTAGCATTGTTGGTAGTAATTCTATCAAGTTTAGGATGCATGACGGGGTCATCAGGACACTTACTGATGTTAGACATGTTCCTGCTGTCAAGAAGAATCTGATATCTTTGGGTACTCTTCACAGAAACGGATTTAGGTATCATGCAGTTGAAGGAGAAGACGTTCTGAAGGTGTGAAAGGGATCGATGGTAATGATGAAGGGAGTGATGACAAGAGGTAGCACCTATCGTTTGGTAGGAAGTGTGGTTGTAGGTGGTGCTGTAGCGGAGGTCTCTGATCAGACAGCACGGCCCTCTGGCACATGCGCATGGGGCATATTGGTGGCATGGGTTGAATGAGCTCCACAAGAGGGGTCTGCTGGGAGGTATGAAGAATTGCAAGATGGATTTTTGCAAGTTCTGTATGATGAGAAAACAGTCCAAGATGTCTTTCAAGACAGGTCTACACACGACAAAGGGTCTTCTAGACTATGTGCATTTTGAGATGTGGAGACCAACTTGTGAGCACTTGAGACACCCCAAACCCGGATAAAAACACCGAATAGCTTGACTTGCACTCTAATACCTGAAAAGGATAAAAAGGGGTATGAGCAACCAAGATTACTCAGTGGGAGTAGGCACGAATGCCCACGAGATTCACAATACCATAACTAAATTATTAATAACTGTAACACATTTAACCTTTTAAATTCCTCTGTAACATAAACATAACATTCAACCTACAACCATTACTAGACCTCAAACATACTTCAATCATTCATTCGTCATTCTTCAACATCATACTTTCATCATAACATTTCTAAGAAAATCTAGCATTCAAGTTCCTCCTCATAAAACATCAAACATTATTGTCTCCTAAGCCATCAACTCTATCTCCTGAGCTGTAACTCCATATTATCTCATGAGCCATAGCTCCATATTATCTCATGAGCCCTCAGCTCTATCTCCTGAGCCGTAGCTCCATAGTATCTCATGAGCCCTCAGCTGTATCTCTTGATCCTTATTATCTCATGAGCACTCAGCTCTATCTCATGAGCCCTTAGCTCTATCGCCTTTATCACACTTTCATAATTGAATAACTTTCATAATTTCATAACATACTTTCATAACTTTCATATTCTCATATATACATCATAACTCACTTTCATCTTAGCAGTTCTAACTCATGAGACTTTCATAAATAACATCACTCTTACACTTTAATGCGTCTAAGCTAACAACAATCAATCATTCACACAATCGTTTCATTCATCATTCATTATGCCTATTAACTATCAATGCAACAACCAATTCATATCACATCATCATTTATCTAATCAAACATCCTACATTCATTAACAAGTTAATTAAAGTATTAATAAATGCTCGATATAAATCCCCACCTGGTATGTTCTGAAGCTGCGGGTCTAAACTCTGTCCTCCTCGCCTTGTGCATGGTTCTGTTACTTTTCTTGAATGTCAATGTAGTTCTCTCAGGCTGAAGAATTAAAGTTAGGTTAACTTCCCCAAGAACTTTCCCAAAAAGAAAACTTTCCTAAAATAGAACTTTTTAAAAGGAAACTTTACCTAATTATAAAGTTACAATAAATAGGAAGTTAGGGTTTCTAATTAAAGTTTCTCAAATTAGAATTAGGTTTTCGAAATTGAATTGGGAAAAATTGACATTAGGGTTTGCATTTCAGAATTAGAGTTTTCATGAAAATAGGGATTCTGGCCGAAAGGGGAAACCGGAGATAACTTTCGGACGTTACCTCGGATCGGGATGATCTTGACAGTTATGGAAAGATGTGTTCACGGGCTTTCCGATGATATGTAGCTCCGCTCCTAGTTCACTCCGAGTCGACGGGAAATATCCATTGAAGTTCACTGCCGTCAGATTTTGATCTACAGAAATTAGTCTCGGGAAAAGGATCATAACTCTAGATCTAATGCTCCGATTGGGGATCCGCTTTTTCCTACAGCTAGCTAAGAGAGTTGAGATTGTGGTTACCGAGTTTCAGATCGATCCGAGTTGATTTGCTTGGTCGGATATCTGCTGCACCGAAACACCTTAGATCTGTCTCTTTCCATCCTCTAGGTTCCTCCAATGAGTTCTCCTTCAAGGTGGCTCTGCAGGACACGATTTTGGCAGGGCTCCGCCGTCGATATGCTCTCTGCCTCTCTCAAATTCGTGGCTCCTCTTTAAATAGATTGAAGGCTGAAGGTTTTAGGGTTAGGGCTTCACAAGAACGGGTTTTTCTGTCCTTAATGATCAAGATGGGCTTTTGGGCTTGAAAAATTGAAAAGAATTTTCAGTTTATGATTTCCTATATTTGCAAGCCCTATCTTTCTAGAGGAGGGATGTCACAGCACTCATTGGGAGGATGTAGATATTTTGTTCTCTTCATTGATGATTATTCAAAGAAGGTATGGGTATACTTCTTGCGGCAGAAGTCGGATGTATTTGATAAATTCAAGATTTGGAAGGCAGAAGTGGAGAACCAGACAGGGAGGAAGGTTAAGTATATGAGATTAGGTAATGGCATAGAGTATACTGACGGGAAGTTTGTCAAATTCTGTGAGGAGCATGGTATTCAGAGGCACTATACATTGAGGAAAACACCACAGCAAAACGGAGTCAGTGAGAGGATGAACTGAACTATCGCTGGAAGCCTAGGTGTTTGAGGTTGAATGCATGGCTTCCAAAGCAGTTCTGGGCAGAGGCAATAAACATGGCGGCTTACATCATTAATAGATCGGCAAAGAAGTCTTTTGAGGGGAAACTTTTGCTCTTTCTATTGAATCAGATGTTCCATTGACTTATAAGGAGGCTATTGTTGATTCAGATTATGTTGGAGCTTTGGACAACATATAGGCTAGAGGACCTATATGTTGGAGATCTGTGCTACAATTTGTTGTTGCATTGTCCACCATAGAAGCTTAATACATGGCATTGGGAGAGGCTGCAAAGGAGGCACGTTGGGCTCAAGGACTTGTGACAGAATTGGGTGTTGAGTTCAGCTACACTGTTATAGGCAGAGTGCAATATTTCTGGCTAAGAATCAAGTGTATCATTCAAGCACGAAGCACATTCATGTGAGGTTTAACAACATCAGAGAGTTGGCTACTTATGGTGAGATCATTATGGAGAAGGTGCATACGTCAGAGAATGCTGCTGATATGTTGACGAAGCCAGTCACTTTGGAGAAGTTTAAGCACTTCTTGGAGCTTTTCCATGTCTTCCCATGCTAAGGAATAAAAAGGTTCCCCACCCAACCACCCACAACCCCTCCCCCCCCCCCCCACCCCGCAATTCTGAAGTAGCTGGAGTTAGATGTGATCATTCGTCAAAGTGGAGTTTGTTATTGAAAGTGACTTATAATCAGTTATTTAGTGGCAAAAGGGCCAGCTCTCATGGGCACTGGTCAATGAGTCGATTGCTTGCCCATTAGAGCGGCTTAGGCCCAGTCCAAGACCGGCACTCTCATAGGCATTGGTCAATGGGCCGAAGGCCTAGGTTTATCGGGTTTTTCTTTTGAGGTGTATATATAAGGTTCATAAGGGTTTGTAAAGTTTAACACAAGAGTTAATAAGAAATTCTAATTGCCTCAATCTCTCTACTTCTTTTTTGTTTTATCGCTCTTAATCACAACAACTATATAAATTTATCTCTCTAATTAATAAGCTGAAAATGAGGTTAAATTTGAGATTTTGTACAAAAAATTGTATTGGAAATACAAAGTGACAAAATTAACTCTCAAAATGAAGAGTATATATATAAGGTTTTTTTTTGCAAAATACAAAGTGATGTTTTTCGTAGGTGTTTCCATTCATTTTCATCTTCATATACGATTAATATCCGTGATCCCCGGCATAATGTAAACTGTAAAACCGCTAATTTTGCATGCCACATCACCGTGAGTCTGTGACCAAGGCCCGTTATAGATCTTCAACCATTCTTCGACGAAGAATCCAATGTTTTGATTTTCTAAGTATCTGCAATTGGAACGAATGATAGAGCGAGGGGGACATTGGAAGTGGAGAACATTTATCTTTGGCGATACAAATTAAAGGAGAACACTTTGTACTCTTTCATCGCATGTCTCGTGATTCAAAATCGTCTAAAAGCTATGTTATATAAAATACAATTTTTTATTTTAAAAGATTAATTTGTTTACCAAAGGAACTGTTTTATTGCAATAACTTGGTAAGGCTTAAGAGTTTCAAAAGGCCTAAACAGGGTGGAAGATTTCAATGCTATTAGGGAATAATATCCCACATCCGAAGTTGGATGGGATTTCAAGTGGTATATAAGGGATGTGGGCCTTTCCACTCATTGCCAATTGGTTTTGAGTTCCATGTAACTTAACATGATATGAGAGCCCCTATCCACACAATCCAACCTGATCTGACTCATAGTTGGTCCAATCATCGATAGGCCCAAAACTGGTGCCGTCGATTCAAGCCCGAACATACTGAGATCGATGGCCAAAGAGCCATCGTCTCGAGAGGGCATATTAGAGAATAATATCCTACATCAGAAGTTGGAAGGGATCTCAAGTGATATAGAAGGGATGTGGGCCTCTCCGTTCATTGCCAATTGGTTTTGAGTTGGAAGCACATGTAACTTAACAAATGCAACTTCAAAGAGAAATTACTCATACGTAATGCATAGCGAGAAAAGATTCGTGAAATTACTATGGATTATGTTACCTGTTTTCAAAAGATAACCATTGTGTATGGGAGGAACGACTTTTACGCATACGACAAAGGATCAGCTCTCATCCAACTCGCCTTTTTCTCTGCTTTCTAGTCAAACTCATTACACACTTATTAATTGTTATATATTATTTTTGGTCAACATACACTTGTTGATTAGAGAGATGGGATCTAGTTGATTTTTGGGCTGACCATGTCATCAATTAATGTATTAATTCTAGAGAACAATAGTATGTAAAATTTGGTGTCTATATTATCCACTACAACGAGTATTTAATTTTTTATTTCTTTTTGGTCCTCTATCCATTTCATGTTCTCTATAAATTAAATCCCACTCCCAACGTTTGTTTCAACATCTCCAAATATTATACACCAAACACAAACACAAAGAGAAAAAAAGAGAGGAAAAGAGAGAGAGAGAGAGATGAAAGCAACAACAATCATAATCTCTTTCTTGTTCGCGTTGGCTACAACTCTAGGAGCTGTGGACTTCAACAAGCAAGTGTTGGACTATACGACTGGCAATCCGATTCCCATCCTAAATGGGTTTGTTATGAGAGCCTTTTCGAAAGGAGAACGTTATTACGTCGACAGAGTGAACATCCCTTACGTAGGCTTGAGACTAGAACCACGACCATCACGCGTTCTTCGACTCGAGCCAAGATTGAACCAAACCGGATCAACCGATCCAATTATAACCCTAGACACCGGGTATGGCTTTAGGTTCAATGATCTTAAATCTTTTTGGAAACTGGATATATCTTACAAGATCCAGGGACTCGGCCTTTTTCAACCTTTCAAGGAAGTACTCGTGATCAAGGAAACCGAGGAGAGTCGTGTATACAAGTTGGTTCACGTTAGCAATAGCACTGGATCCAATAATATTGGTTTGCAGGTGGTCATGGTTGATACAGTGGAGCGATATCAACTTGCTGTTATGAGAACACCACTCCCTGGCGTAAGCAGTCTTCTCTTCACGTTCGAAAGGTCTTGAAGAGGCATCTTTTATTTGTTTTTGTTTTTTGTATTTTCTCTTGTTTACCGGAACTTGGACGTAACTATATATGGGCTTGATTTGGATGTTTCTGTAGATGCTGTCTAAATCAATAGTTATGTCTTTATTTTTGTCAAACAATAATAAACCTATGTCATCCATGCTTTATATATTTCTTTAAATTCCATAACTCTTTTATTTTATTTTATGTCCTTTTAATTAAGATCTGAAAAGAAAGTCAATTATCTACAGCCTAACTTTGTCGGCTCCTTTAAGATCTGTAGAAAGTCAAAGATCTGTATCAAACCAAAAGCAAGTAGAACCTACCAAGATGAAGAAACAAGTAACGTACATTACGTTCTCTCTTTTGGGATGCATTGGTTTTACTTTTGGTTTCAATGGAGGTTGTGATCTACCCAATCATTTAAACTGCTTTTTCTTTTTTTTTTTTTTTTTTTGCATCCAAAGGTTTTCTAGATACAAAGACTAGTCCCAAGAGGCCTTGCATCTGGGTACCCGTTTGGAAATGTTCCAAATTTAATATGCAGCTAGGTGGCCAAGGGGACTTGAACCCACCAAGACTCTTCAAAAACATGGCCGGAGTTAAGCAATTGTTGTTTTATTTTGAAAGTTAAGCACAATAATATATTATGAAGGACCATTTGGTCATTTGTGGGTTTTTGACTATGATTAGCCATGGCGTGATAACAGAAGTCATCGTCATTAAGAACTGTTCATCATTCTTCAACCCACGCACGATCGTAAACCACCAAGTGCTTACATGTGAACATCCACCTAATCACAAATCCTAAGATTGTCACTACTCCAAAGCTGGTGTATCTAGATGTTGTTGTGACTAGCGAACTCATTACCCATTCCAAAATTGGAATGCTCCATAGTGTCCTGCGTCCAATGCTAGAGATGCTTAGAGCACAAGCTATTACATCCATGGCCATTATCACCATACTCGCTTCCATCGTGATCCTTGTAATCTTCCAAATTGACAATGCCTTTCGAGATTCTAAATAAATGAATCGCTTTTGTAGATAACTAGGTCGTTTCCTATTTGTTAAAAAACACACATATAGGCTCTAACTGGTAACCACAATTGGAATGAAAGGAATAATGAGGAATAGGAACAAGAGGAACAATAAGGAACAAATTATAAGGAATAGATTTTAGAGAAGGAATGGAACAAAACATCACTAGAATGGTAACCAAAAAAAGGAACAATTATTTTGAAAATAAAAATACTCAAAAATAAATTATAAGATATTCTAAAAGTATGTAATATAAAAAAATTGCCAAACACTTGTCCCTTTCACAATATCCCTAAAATAATATTGCATCTCCCAACTATAACACAAAAAAATAATTGAATGTCAAGCTTGTTTGCCTTCTTTATTATAGAACATTGAGTTTTTTTATAATAAATTAATAATAGAGAGAATACTATAACTGACGAGAAGCAATATGTATATGAAAATATACTATTACCATTTTTTATTTGCATTCCTTTTCATTCCTTGATAAATTTGGGGTGGAACAAATTTGTACTATAATTTCTCATAACTTAAGGAACAAAGGGGAATTATGTGGGTCCTACAATGAATAACAATTCCTTTCAAATGGTAAATTTTTTAAGGAATGAAGAGGAATGTCTTGTTCCTCTCATTCCATTCCTTAATTGTGGTTACCAGTTACAGCGAGTTAAAAAAAACACACAATATAGTCTACCTGTCATATATAGAATCACTAATCCCCTAACTTTACAAAACTTTCAAATAACGAAATAACCATTGCTTTAAACCTAAGCACCAACTGTCTCCGATTTATCTCCATTTGTTTTTGTAACTCGCTAGGTCCAGAGCAACCGTCTGAGTCACCCTTAGCGCAATCTCGTGTGAGCATTGGACGATAGGTTTCAAGAAATACTAGGTGATTGACCGGGCTACGCCCGGGGTAATATTATTTATAAATTTATCTTATAAACATTATCTCGATTTCCTATTATAATTTACATTTGTAGTTGTTTCTATCTTGTTGAGTTACCTTGTAAATGTTGTCAAAAAAATCTATACGAATTTGTGATGATATAAAAAAAACATTTTCTAACTATTGTCAACATGATCTATACAATAATATTGTTGGATATCTTACAAAAACTTTTAGTTTAGAATATAAGTTGCTACTAATTATTATTATTTACTCATGCTGATGTTTGATGTTAATTTTATTCAGTAAATCACTTGGCATATACAATATTTATAGAATTTTAATAAATAGTTTTTCTATTGTGGTATGAAGAACACAACATATTAAGATTATGTTTTATAAATTGATTTTGAAATTATTATTTTACCTAGCTAGGCCCTTTAAATTAAAAAGATATTTCGGAAAATATTTATGTAAATGTGATTAAAAGCAATTGCGTTTATTTTCTAAGAAATAAATAGTGTTTTTGAATAGCTTCAACTATATGAAAGTGAACAATATGGTTAACAAAGACTTCAACATAAATTTGTTTTTTTCCTGCAGTTTTGGTAAGAAGAAGAAAATAATGTTTATGAGAGTTGAAAATTATTATTTGATCTTAAGAGTGTATAGTTGATTTGTAGTATTGATCTTGGTGTCCTACAAAAGTTGAACATTTAATCGTTTTCTGCAAGTATAGTTAGACAAAACAAATTCCTTTTAGATGGAGTTACTCTCCTCTTAACTCTTTCCTTTACTTGTGTAAGATTCTTGCGCTGCAATTAAAACCAAATGTATACTGATACTGTGTTCTTGATGAGAGAAACTAATATTAAGAGTCTAATTACAAACCATATGATAAACATGAGTTTAGTTGTGGTGAAACTCTATTTTTATAGTCTTAGGAAGAGTCATCAATCCAATTCGAAAGAGATACATACACAAAGGTAACAATGATGAGACTTTTTTTTCTTCTTCTTCTTCTCTTCTCCCGCCAATCCTCAACGTTGGTTTCCCACTCCCAGCTCTGTTTTCATCCGCAAGAGCTGCAACGCCACTCTCTACCCCGACCTATCCTTCTCCTCTCTCTCTTATTTTGGTAAAAGCTTTGGAACATAAAATCAGGGAAATTGATGAACTTAAAGAGCTAACTTATGGTAATAAAAAAAATTACTCCTTAGTGTTCCTCAACTCAAGCTCTCTCTCATCTATCTCGTTATAGAATTCTCTAAGCTCTCCCAAAGTCGAGAAGCTGTATACTAAGACTCTCCCAATGTAGCCGAAAGCTTTAATTCCTTTTACAATAAGAGGTAAGAAATTAATGTGTTTTACGCTATCCTTCTTGAACTGATGATAAGAACCAAATTCTATTCTAGCAGAGAAGATGATCAGTACAGAAACGAAAGAGGTTCAGAAAATTATAGGAGACAACATATACATGTCAAAGTTCTAATAAGGTAGAATTCATACCATTACAAATTTACGGGCTAAACTCAAACAACTACTTTTATCAACCAATACACAAAACAACCTGATTATACGAAACCCATAGACCACTTGCTATGTAATATGGAATTGTTAATTATAAAAACATCAGTTGAAAAAACTACTTTAATAATATTTGGAGCGGAAACTGTAGGGAGCGAATTACCTCGCTCTAACTGGCTTGAAAAAACTTTGACATCCGTTGAAGATGTAGTCAACTTCAGTCTTCAAATCTGAGATTACTATTTTAAAATATAGTTGAAATCAAGTTCAATCATCAACAAAAAAAAATACATGTGAAAGCCTTGAAAAGCATACTTTTGTAAGCATCGATCGTCAGGTGGCCATGATTTTGTCGACTGTAGTTAAACTGCCAAGAAAACAGAGGAAATGTATTTTAGTGATGTGGAAACTAAGAGTGATGCATATGTACGTTTTAAATGTTACTGCTAAACGTAAGGCTGAGATCGTTGTAAACTGAAGCAAAATAAAGGAGGGGGAAGTTATATAATATTAGCAAGTTTACCTCATTACCTTTCAAGTTTCGTGCACCATCATCTCTTGCTTGAAAATTGTATCCTCATTAAGTTAATTAAACTGTCTAGAGAGATTTTAGATTCTCAATATCCTACCCCTAAGCTCAATTCACTGTAAACCCTGTCAACTGAATGAGCTCTTTCAAGATCACCGTGTAAGATTCATTATCTAACTTTGCTATAAACTCACCGGGAACCAAACTGGTGGGACTCCACAAGAGCTCGAAAGACATAACTTCGACATCACAGCCTGATTTGGCACCTTTTCCTGCATTTAGTTAGAAGCTCTCAAACATTAAAATCAGGAAAGTGGTATACTTAAAAAGATAAATCATTGTAATCAGAAGCTTACTCCATGTAGAACTTGGTCTTTCTATTGTTGTGTCTTTTTGTGGCTTCTCAAGATCTCTTTTGCAAGTTCGTTTTGGTATGCCTCATTAATTAGGTTTCAGTAGCTTAAACTTGGTCTGATTCTCCTCATGTTCTCTAAAGAAAAACAAAACAGAGAACGCAATTTATCCTCATGTTCCCAATCAGATATTGTCAATAAACAAAAACAACATGCAAACCTGTGAGTGGAAATCCCTAGGAACCGTTCGCAACCCAGAAAATAATAAGGTATCATGAGACTCTCTTCTGCACAGTTGATCTCATAGGATTGTTATAAGAGTCAAAGCAATGTCCAAATAAAAAAGAGATAAATGTGGTCCGAAAGCAGTAGACCGAGAATTACGACTTTCTAATCAGACAACACAAACTTTCTAAACTTGCGAGCCCAAGATTAATCAAACAGATAAATCAAATCATCATTATGGAAGTGATCAATTGAAATTGCAGAGAACATAGAAATCTACGGAGAACAGATCCAAACGACGTTTATATCTGTAACTAAACGAAGCCTAAACCTGAAAAGAATACAAACCTCGAGATTAGCCGCTGGGAAAAGGCCTTTGGGTGGTGGCGACATTGCGAAGATGTGATGGGAAGAAAATCAAACGAAAGAATTTGTTCGCTCAATTAGAATGTGAAAAAACATGGTGGACGCTGGAATACGATAAGGAGAGACGAATTGCATAATTACTAACGCAACAGAGAAGAAGAGGAGACGAAGAATCTCTGAATTTGATTATCCTTTCCATTTTCTGATTTGCGTTTTATAGGATCGATCGGAAAGAGAGGTTTAGGATTGGAGGTGCCATAAATTCGATAGAGGGAGTGGACATATGAGTAACCGATAACAGACAGTGTTGAATCGATTCAAGTTGGAAGAAGAGACGACGACGAAAACGATGAATCGATTCAGGCGTAGTCCGGATTGAGTTTGTGGGCTAAGAAGTATATGGACTCAAAACAAATCACGAAGGCCCGATTCGTTTTTACTCTTTGTACTGCTGATGTGGCGTTTTTAATTGAAGCATTTGACGTGGCAGGACGGGAATTCTGAGAGGAATGCTGAGTTGGAGACCTTGAGAGGCCCCAAATAATCCCTTTCATTTCATTAGTATAGATAATAAACAATTTTATGCAAATAATAAGCAAACATTAAGCAAATAGTAAGAATTGTTTTAGCAAATAGTAAGGATTTTTTTAGCAAACACGACGCCCGACATATATTAATCGGTATCATTTTTTTAATTATACTGTTGTTTACAATTAGTGTATCAGGGATCAAAAGCATTTATGACTCTTCTCTTGGTTACTTGCATATTGGAAGAAAAAGTGAAACACACAACAACAGTCTTTAGATGTAAGCCATGTTTAATTTCAAAACTGTAAATGCATCAAAGAATCATAATCTTACTCAGATCCTTGCTTAGGGACACTACGAAAGATCATTTTTGCCGCAGTCTCCGCCTCGGCTTCGTTTCAGATCTTCACGCCTAAACCATATTGTGTTTGGTCCGTGAGCATCTTCTTCATGTCCCATGCCGATGTCTTTTTGGGGTCAAACACACGTTGTATTATGATCCAACTCCAAGAATTACCCAAAAACGCTTTGACGACGTACCAATTGAAAAGGGACTCCTCGATCCACTCTAGGTAAGTCTTCAAGTGGAACCACACCGCACAACACATAGGAGATATTTAGAAGATTTTCACAAATTTCCTTTTTTCCCTAATTATGTTTTTCTTATTGGACTTTTGATATTTTCTTAGGGTTTTTAATTGCTATTTAAACAGTTTTAAGTTGTAGATCTTATTATTCTAGTTAATCAAATCAGAGAGCTTTTCCCTAATCTAGTAAATTTCCAGAGTTTTCTCTTCAAATTCATTGCTTGTGAACTTGAATTTAATCTAGGTTTAGTGTTTGCTATAGAAGGATCTAGAAAATCCATGTAATTAATGTGAATATTATGAACATTATTATAGGGATTTGTATTTATGTTAAATGATACTATTAGATTAGTAATTAAGTTAAGTGTGTCACTATATAAACCTTACGACATTGTACATTCATCTTCATGAGTCAATATAATACTTCTTCCAATATAATACTACAAAAAAAGAGTATTCGTCACCTTCATCCCCATATGCGATTCTTGATATCTCTAGCACAACGTCTCAGCAGCTCTTCAAGAATTGGTTGTCTCTGCTTCACCATTCACCATCACCAGCAACTACCTTCCATCACATTCCATTCTACCACTACTGTCACACTTTTTGCCGCTGCATTTCACCGTTTTCTCTACAACTCTACGGCTACACAAGGATTATATTATCAATCTCAAGCTGCTAACTCCGCTTTTCTCCATCACCGCCTTGAGCTTGAGGGGGCGTATAGAAGGATCTAGAAGATCTATGTGATTAATGTGAATATTATGAACATTATTATAGGGATTTGTATTTATGTTAAATGATACTATTAGATTAGTAATTAAGTAAAGTGTGTCACTATATAAACCTTGCGACATTGTACATTCATCTTCATGAGAGTCAATATAATACTTCTTCCGATCCTAAACTCTCATCATCTCTAATACTTGCTATTCCTAGGGTTTTTCGGACTCTGTCCCACATGGTGATGATGCACTTTATGAACCACATGGTGAGAACCGCCATCATCACCTCGATCGACTTAAGAAGGACTTGGTTTTGCTCCTTTGTGGCTTTCTCCGAGATTAGTATAAGACATGGCTACGTTGTTATCCACGACCGTGCATCGTCGTTGAGACCCCTCACTCACGACGTACACCACTCGCGGCTTTGACGTGAAGATCCGCCTAAGGAGAAGACCGAAGATTGTCACTTCCACAAAAATGATGCGCCTTGAAGTTGCGGTTAGAAGCAATGCCATTGCCCATTCCCAAATGGGAATGCGCCATACGGTCTTGCGCCGTAGGCTGGTGATGCTTAGCGCACAAGGCACTACAACAACGGCCAAAACCGCCGCTGCTTCCAATGCGTTACGCAAAATCCACCACATGGATTTTTGTGTTCGGCGTGCCAAATCCATCGAATACCTGTTCCTACTTGTTAGGAACACACGCTTCTTCGCCACCACAGGAGCTTGAATTTGATCCATTCTTCTTCTTTCAATCGATTGAACCACACAAACAATTTAAAGCACAAGTAAGAAAGGAAAGAAAAAAGAAAGTTCTTGGTTTCGTTTGATTAATTTCAAAACTGAAAGTAACGTTGGTTCATTAAACCAGGTTTCCTATTACAAGTTTGTTTGTTTTGTTCTTCTTCCAAGTTTTCTGTTTTCCTACCTTTCTCATTCGGTCATAGAGAGAAAAAAATGCAAACAATAACATCTCATGATTTTATTGTGGGAAGATCCGTTTGTGTTAAAAATATCTTATTATATAAAGTTGGATGTGCGCGACGTGATTGCGACACGTAGGATTTTTATAAAATTTATGATTGCGACATGTGTTACTTTTAATGTTATGTCCGTTAATATCATGACATGTGTCTTAGAAAAAAGGAAAAACAAATAATAATTAAAAAAAAATAGATAAAGAAGAAAAAAACGAAATTTTAATCTTTTTAGACCGTGACATGTGTCTTAGAAAAAAGGAAAAAATAATAATTAAAAAAAATTAGATAAAGAAAAAAAACGAAATTTTAATCTTTTATAGTTAAAAGAAAAAAAAAATTATATTTTTCATATCCTAATAGAAAAAGGTTTCTCATTCATCAAATTTATATTATCCAAACACATATAAGATTCAAATTAATGAAATAAATAAAATCCTATTAGTACATGAAATAGTTAGGTTTAGTTAATCTTTTATAGTTAAAAGAAAAAAAAATATATTTGTCATATCCTAATAGAAAAAGGTTTCTCATTCATCAAATTTATATTATCCAAACACATATAAGATTCAAATTAATGAAATAAATAAAATCCTATTAGTACATGAAATAGGTTAGGTAAACTAAATTTCCTATAACTGCATGAAATAAGTTACATGAACTACATGAACCCCTATAAAAAGAGAGTTAAAATAGTCTTTTTTTTCTCATTCACAAACTCATCAAAGCAAACAACATGATAGCAATACGTATGATTTTTATAACTCACAAAATTGCGATATGTGTAATAAAATAATGATAATAAAAAAGCTAACTAATAATGAAAATGAAAATTTATAATGGTCTGAGTCAAAAAAAAATTGAGAAAGAAACAATATAAATAGAAAACTAACAAATTAATTATCAAACAACTAACTAATATTAAGAAAATATAATGAACCGATATTCTAATTTTAAATAGTTTAATATATTTTCAATATTGTTAGGTAAAAAATTATTAAATAAAGATTTCATCAATTGAAATCTCTTGAATGGAATAATAAAGTTTTGTTGAATTAATTAATCAGTTGATCATATTTAGACATATATAAGTCTTTCTATATTGGATAAAAATAAAAATAAAACAAATTAATTCATTTTTTATATCATGAATTCAAAAAAAATATCAATTACAATAAAAACGTAAAAAGGTTACCGATCTTATTTTATTTAAATATTTTTATCGGGTTTTTAATATTATTCTGTTTACTTTAAAATGATCAAATTTGGTTTAATACTTTTCCATGATTTTATTATAAAATCTTAAAATAAACCCGCGTATACGCGGGTCTTAATCTAGTATATATATATATATATATCCATTGATGTTGATTGAATTAATGGCGGATGTTAGATCTCAAAATCACACAGTAATAGTAAGATAAGAGATGTGAGGTTTAGGAGAGACTCTTTATTAGATCAACCAAAGACAAAGATTGTACAAGGGGTGATTCGTCTCGACGAAAAGTGTGACGAGACGAATACGAAAAGAATAGAGAAACTAAGAACAAAGGACGAATTATAACTAGGTTTTGCCTCTTTGCTCTCAGTGATTGTGGAGAATTTCTGGATGATTCTGAATGGTCTTCAAGGAATAGGGGGGTATTCTATTTATATGGAGAGGAGGTTGGCTTCTTCAAGATATTCTTCCATATTTCTTTTGGAAATATTCTTCTTTGGTGTTGATCTCCTTCTATTTTTCTTGGATGTAGTCTTTCTCTCCAAGTACTTCCTTTTCTTTGAGGAGGTGGAAGTGGAAGCGGGCCGGGCTTACATAGTATTATTAATTGTGACGGGCTCAGGGAAATTGTGCTAATTTCTGCTCTAACAATAAGTCCCCCCCAGTTTGGCGAGATAAATGCAATTTAATCTCGGCGAACTTCATGTATAAAAGAGGAGCTCAAGAACAATTAATAATAACTATGTGATGCCGATGCTGTTGCGATATTGCGCTGACGTGATGTTGCGTTGCGTTATTGACTTTAGATCCGCACTGCCTCGTTAAAACCTTGATATGGAAATACCCTATGGGATAAAAACCATAAAAAGGGAAAGAGTACAGTGACGTAATCTTGTCCGCAAATAGAATGTGCTTTTGATAATTTCTCTCGGACTTGACTAGATGACTCTTTTGTCTCGTCAAGGAGAATAGATTGCTGTGATGATTTTTCTCGGATTCGGGTTTCGACGAGATTGGTTTTATCGGGCTCGTGTGATGACGAGACCGATCGAGCTCGTATATGATGACGAGATCGGTGTCTTCTCGGGCTCGTGTGATGACGAAACCGCTCGATTTCGTATATGATGACAAAACCGGTTGGGGTTGCGCTTCGGCAACACTTGTTTTCTCGGGATCGTGCTTCGACGAAACCGGTTTGTTTTATCGGGCTCGTGTGATGACGAGACCGCTCGATTTCGTATATAATGACGAGATCGGTGTCTTATGGGGCTCGTGTGATGACGAGACCGCTCGATTTCGTATATGATGACGAGATCGGTGTCTTATCGGGCTCGTATGATGACGAGATCGCTCGATTTCGTATATGATGACGAGATCGGTGTCTTATCGGGCTCGTGTGATGACGAGACCGCTCGATTTCGTATATGATGACGAGATCGGTGTCTTATCGGGCTCGTGTGATGACGCTCGATTTCGTCCTTCAGACCTCAGACCTTTCGGGCTCACCCCAAAGTCTGAAGGCATTCCCATCGGTTCGGACGCGACGGCTTCGCGTCGGCTTACTCCTCATGGATGATCAGTCCGTATGTTTTTCTCGGATTCGCGCTTTGGCGAGACCGGTTTTATCGGGCTCGTGTGATGACGAGACCGCTCGATCTTGGATGACAAGATCGGTGTTTTCTCGGGCTCGTGTGATGACGAGACCGCTCGATTTCGTGTGATGACGAGATCGGTGTTGTCGAGAGGTTTGGCCAGAACGTCGACGTGTGCCTTTGGAGGTGAATAAAATTTTACAATGCTCATCTCGTCAGACGGATTATAGAATTTTATTGGGGGTATAGCTGAACCTTTGGAAAGGCTGCCTACGTACCCATGCCGGGATCAAGCCATTCGTAGTTCGTTTTCTCGGTCTCGTGCTTGAGACCGGTTTGATGCCGAGATGTTTATCGGACTTGCCGTTTCGGCGGCGGAGGCAGATCATCTTGGTGAGGGAGTGATGCAGGCGCGTTCTTCTCGGCGTCGTCGTCTTCATCTTGCGCGTCGTATTTTACTTTCGGCGCTGGTTTGCAGCTCGTCGATTTTCGTCGCGGCGTTCAGCATCTTTGGCTTTGCGGAGTATTGCTGTACTCTTGTATCAAGCTCATGCGCCTACATTCTTCTGTAGTATGATCGGTTCGTCCATGGAGTTTGCACCATTTGGACTCGTCGCTGTCCTGTTGTGAAAGACTCCTTAGAGGCCTCCTTTTTTCTCTTGACGAGATGACTCTTGATGAGATGAATCTTGACGAGATGATGCGTGCCGAGATGACTCCTTCGTCATTCCATGAATCTTTGAGTGGTGCGCCTTGCTTTCTTCAACACAGACGTATTTTTGGATCTGTGCAAAGCGTCCTGGAGGGTTGCGGGTTCGTCGAGCATCAGACTCTCTTTCAACTTTGATTCGAACCAAAGCCCGTTTTCGAAAGCTTTGATTCCTATCGCGTCAGGGATGTCTGAGTGCTCTGCTGCTTGTTTTGAATCTCTCGACGAACTTGCGAAGAGACTCATCTTTTCCCTGTGCCATAGTGAAAAGATTGGTGCTGCCTTTTGACATAAACATGCCAAAGTGTTTCATGAATGCCGTGCTGAGATCATCAAAGCTGTCGATGGTCTCGGCAGGAGAGGTTCGAAAACCAGCTCGTCGCATCTTTGTTCATGTGCTCGATGAACACTTGACAGTAGTTTGCGTCTTGTTCTTCGGGGGAGGCATATTTTTGCCTTCTCATGGCCATCTCGAAGTTTCTTAGCCAGTTTCGAGGATCGTCGCCATTGTTGTAGAACTGAAGACGGAGAGCCGTTTGATCCTTTAGAGGTATCGCGGCGATGCACGACGAGTGAAAGGACTTCTTTTCGTCTCGGCGAGGATTTTGGCAATCTCGGGTGCCGAGCTGATAGCGTCGTGCACTTTGGAGCTGATTGCGTCGAGGTCGCGGCGCAGCTTGGCCACTTCCGGGTCGGTGTCTTTCTCACCATTCGTCGCGGCATTGGAGCCAGTCGCGGCGGTGCTTCTTGTCGGCGTCTGGAAGAGAGTTCGTCCCGTCGGGATGACTCGTCCGTCGCTGGTGACGTGGAGGGAGTCGATCTTGTCGTTGTACTTTTGCTGCTGAGCTTGCATCTCGGCGAATTGAGAAGCAATTTGAGCAGCAAAGCCTTGCATGGCGGCGGTTAACGCGGCGGTCGTGACGGGAGCTTCTACGTCAGGAACCGGTGGCGGCGGAGGGTTGACGTGACCGTTGGTCGCGTCGACTTCGACGGGATGGACGATGGGGTTTCCATCTGCGCCGAGTTGACTTTGGCAGTTCGGTGCTGGGATCATCAGCTGGAGGTGCCATCTTTGAACCTTGATTGACTTTTTTCAGAGTTTTTTCTCCAGCCCCACGGTGGGCGCCAATTGTTGAATCTCAAAATCACACAGTAATAGTAAGATAAGAGATGTGAGGTTTAGGAGAGACTCTTTATTAGATCAACCAAAGACAAAGATGTACAAGGGGTGATTCGTCTCGACGAAAAGTTGACGAGACGAATACGAAAAGAATAGAGAAACTAAGAACAAAGGACGAATTATAACTAGGGTTTTGCCTCTTTGCTCTCAGTGATTGTGGAGATTTTGGATGATTCTGATGGTCTTCAAGGAATAGGGGGTCTTCTATTTATATGGAGAGGAGGTTGGCTTCCTCAAGATATTCTTCCATATTTCTTTTGGAAATATTCTTCTTTGGCGTTGATCTCCTTCTATTTTTCTTGGATGTAGTCTTTCTCTCCAAGTACTTCATTTTCTTTGAGGAGGTGGAAGTGGAAGCGGACCGGGCTTACATAGTATTATTAATTGTGACGGGCTCAGGAAAATTGTGCTAATTTCTGCTCTAACAGCGGAGTGAAAAATATGAGAAACAGAAAAATGAACAAAGAAAATTCACAATATTCTACGGTAAAGGGTAAAAAAACAAAAAATTATAACTGTAGCGCATAATGAGATATGGAGACTGATTGCAATTGATTGTTTGCATCTACGTTGCACGGAAACGCTAATCACCATGTGTTTCGCGTTTCGAAACGTTTCGGAAATGGAAACGCGACGGAAACGCATGAAAACGCGTTTCTTGAAATATTCCATTTGGAACCGTGGTGGAAACGTCCGATTCCAAAACGGAAACGCGACGAAAACTTCCTTCTGTTCTGATCTCTGCAGCCGCCAAGCCTTAGATCGACAAACAAATTGGAGAATTTTGAAAGAATTTGAGTTTAATTGAATATTTTAGTTTGTGATAGATTAATATACATCTGATTCAGAAATCTACGAAGAAAACTACTAAAAACGCAGAAAAAATGATGTAGGATGCGAACAATTGTTGCAGGTCGCCGCAAAAACTAGAGTTGCAGAAGGTGGAGAGTTGGGGAAGAAGACGTTGTCAAAATTACAGTTATACCCTTTAATTATTAAAATTGGAAAACGAACAAAATGTGGAATACCCACGTTTCGAACTCGTGCGAGCTAGAATTAATGCCATTCCACTAACCACTGCACCAACATGATATATTAGTTACTTATTATACAAGAAATATATATATATATATATATATAAAATATAAAATATATATATATATATATATTGCATACGTTTCCAAAACGTTTCCAGTCTTATATTTTCTAAAAACAACGTTTCCCGTTTCCGAAACAACGTTTCCCGTTTCTGAAACGTTTCGCTTCCACGTTTCCGTTAGGTTTGCATTGCATGCATGTATTGATATACGATTCCTAATTGCTCCAACTATTACATATCCAAAAAGAAATATAATTACATGGCTACGTCATATCAATTCCACACATCAATCAAAGCAAAGATGTAATTGGCTGCAAACGTAACTCCTTTATTATTATAGAAACAAAACATTTGGATAAAACAGCAATAAGATAAAACATATAGAATAAGAGTGACAAAAGAGGCAAACTTCTAATGAGGATTAATTATCTTTCCTCGGAACAAGAAACTGTTACTTACCATTTTCTAGCAACCCGGTGCCCTTGAATTTCTCTTCCATCAATCCATCGATTCTAGTGGCCATCTCCGGAGTCAGGTAGTTCTGCCAATCCCCGACCTTTCCCTTCCTGAAAAACGCACTATTAAAAAGACCAGCACGTTCCTCTATTGCTTTCTCCACTTTGTTGTGTTCAAGATTCTTCAACGTCTCAAAACTGCAAAGATTCACAACTTTCTCAACAACCCCTTCCTTCTCTTCCTCAGCTGTGAATCCATAACCCATAAACTCAGCCAATCTTTTCACATACGGCAAAGGATCAGCTCTCATCGTCTCATACTTGAGAAACAACATTTGAGCTGGATTATCTTGATAAGCTTTCCAATACGACAAAACATGATCTAGACAAGGACCATAAGCAGAAAGTCCTCGACAGAACATATCAAAAGACTCTTCAAGACTATTGATAGGGCCATAGTCTATCATTTGCTTTTGAATGAAATTCCACAAGGATATGAAAGTGTCCTTTGGGTCTCTCCAGATGTAAACTATCTTACAGCCCGATTTTGAAATCGACTCGGGTAATAGATTGTGTGGGAGATGAGACGAAAACAGAGTGTTCCCTTTGTCAGTTTGAACATCCTTATGACGGAAAAGAGCAGAATCTTCTCCAATGAAAGGAACAAGGTCATGAGGGTTATGTTTAAGTAGAAGGTTTGTGGATTTGTCAAAGTGAGATCGATTGGCTATGGCGAAACTAAGAGCTTTGACCCTACAGATGAAGAAGTCAATGGGTCGCGCTTGGAAGAACTCTTGCGCGTAAAGGCAACCTTCAAGACGATTTCGGAAGAACCAGCCTTTCTCGTGAGGAAACGTGTCGATGAGGTTTTGGTAACGTTTCTGATTCTTCTGGAACTCTGTTGACTCTGTCTCGTTCTCGTCGTGGTGCAGAAAGGTCGTCTCCGTTACGGTTGATGATTCCATTGGAGATGGAGAAAGACGATCTGAAGACTTGACTTGTGTTCTGTGGGAGAGGGTGGTGATAGTTTGTGTTTTGACTGTGCTTATATAATATATTTTTTTTTCTTTGAAAACAATTAAGAGTGGGTTTTCTTGGGGAATCTTTTGACAGTCCGATGCTATAATATAAAATTAAAAAAAAAAAGAAAAAACAGATTGAGATTTCCGACGATGACCAAGAAAAAATAAAAAATGGTTTATAGCTGGCAAAAGTATCAATTTTACATATTTTATATCAATAATTTATATATGTGCTTCTATATTTAGTTTAAACTTTCTCTCTTATTAAAAAATAAAAAGTCATGTCTTTGAGAATTCAAGATATAAATAAAAAATATTGA